CGTCTGTTCGTCTGCCCATCTGTCTGTTTGAACAAGAATTTGGAATTGACCTAAACTTTCCAGAGCACACACCGACAAACGCCTACGTGCCTATACGGCAAAATCCTTTATTTTGAAAATAGAAGAAATCAGCCGCGCCCACTCCCTATAATAGAGCATAAAAATTTTGTTCTTTCACTTCTTTTGTCTTTTTTAGGATAACTGTCATGGGTACAAAAGATTCGATCCCGATCGAATATAATTTTCTTACTTGTGTCCATTGCTTCTTGTTTGGTTCACAAATAACTTTAATTCATTAATTGAATATTGGTCCCAAATTAATGGCTCACACTTATTGGAGTCGTAAGAAATTGCTCAAATTTCATTTCATAATACGACTTCTGCCGAAATGTAAATTGCAGCTTAATTGAATAAGTAAGGAAATTATAATCGGACACGACCGAATCTCCCTTACCCATCACTTTCATGCAACCCGCGGTAATTTACTTTGCGAGGTCCACTATTTTTATTGTATAATTAACACATAATACAGCCGCATGCGAAGAATATACAAAATAATTTGTAACATTCTCTATTGTGTGTCTTGTGAGTAGTAAGCAGAAACCATCAGAAACGTGAAAAATTCACTTATAACTTTAAGTAGGCATGACCGATTTACTCCATTTTTGTACAGATGCTGTAAGACCATGCATGGAATGTACTTAAACATTTTTATCTCAAATTATGCTTCATTGCGGTCATGTCCTTCGACCAATTTGTCTTACTTTCACCAGCAATTTACGTGAAAGAGTTTCCAATGTGTCAAATTCGCTGCTTTGGAAAATAAATGCATAACAATGAAATCACTGCGCAGCACGAACGTGTTAATACAGCGTTAATATTGTCGGTAAAAAGGGACGAAATCATTTAATCGGACATTTCTACGAGATTGCACGAGATGCTACAAGGAAACCCTTTATAACGTTCGAAATGGCTTAGGGAACAAGCAATAATACCCAAGAGAATCATCATCGTCATCGCCGTTAGACGTTATATCTTGACCCTAGACTTAAGGCACATTTATTCACGACACCCAACCACAACCTAGCTATAATAGGCTGGCCGTAGAATGCCTGGGTGTATTATGAAATTGAAAAATTCAACCGATTGAAAAAAACTCCAGCCGAACGAATTTTTTTTATTCTCAAGTTTTTTGTACGCTTATAACATAGCATCGCTATGAAAAATGTACCAGAGGAGTTCGCGTACCTTTGCCAGACGTTCAGTTGTGCACTTATCGGGAAGGTGGATTGGCGATGGCAGGAAGAATTAGTTAGGAGGCGAATTTTAATAAATTTAAAGTCCGCAACGGTTGTTGAAACTTGCGCGAAATCCTAAGAGAATCAAAAGACAAATTTACATCAAAAAGAAGAAACGAAAATGTGGCGCCTCTAAAACAAGACAGTATAATTAATATATGATTTTTCATACACAAAATTCATCGAAAAAAAACCCTTAAAGAATTATAAAAACCAAGTGCGTATACCGCATCCCATTTCATATATCAGCCATTTGCTGTCTTTAAGAATAATTCACAAAAAATATTGCGAATTATGAAAAGTATTTAAAAGTGTTGCAAACGACAACATAATCGTGTGGGTCAATCGTCCAACTGTCGTTTTCTTATTTTATAACATTTTTATTCACTCGTTCCTGTAGATAATTAAATACTATATATACGCGTGTACGTGTTCAGAATTATACAAATATATGTGCATTGGCTCGCATTCAGTTAAGTAGAACACATCTGTCGTGTTTTTTGTGCAGAAGTGAGCTCACTCACTACCTTCATACATAATATGATTGATGGCTACGGTTCACACACCTACAAGATATTAATATTAAATATAAAAAATCTTCCTGCCTTGTTTATTTGCTAAGTTTAAGTACATTTTTCTTTTATTTTAAATGAATTTTGCCGCTATTTTCAATTAATGCCTCCTACCCTCTTGTCTGATAGAAACCTTACGCCATCTACAGAAAGCAAAACAAATGGTAATCGGAGGAAGGAGGGTAATGTCTTATGCTGTACTCCAAGATCTTGTGCTCATGTGTAGGGCAAGTTTTACTACAGAGATATGCCAACAAGGCCTAATTCTTAATTTGTTTGTGATGAAAACTTGTTCATAATAGTAGTTTAATATAAAAAATTACACAGACATCAAAAGAACAGCCGGCCAGACAAGCTTAGATAGATTTAACGTTGAGTTCTTCTGGATGTTACATACATACCCATAAACTGAATATAAACTGTACCACAAGGAGAGTATGAAAAACTAATTTCTTACTATTATTACGTTTTCTGAAAGAGGAAATTTTATGCTGCATGCATGTTTATGTATATGTAAATATACTTTATGTATATCATTATGGTTGGCTTTTCAAATATTTTTAACATAGTTTGCACAATATTTGAAAGTAAAATTCCATCCTTTCATTTGTGTTTTTTTTATAGTTCTTTTAGTAATTATTTCAATGATGCATTGCGTACTGCTCACCTGTCCATAACTGTATATACTATACCATAGGATTTGTTGGACTATTTATATCTTGTTTTCAAACCTGTTTTGCGGTGTGCAAAGTCATAGCCGACATCATATACCTATATATATTATATAAAAGATCTTTAGGCTTCTTCAGTTTTTACGCAGACGTATTCTTAATCCACATCCTACAATCGGCAAACCTACATATATGCATTTCACTATTTCTTCAGGAGTTACTTGAAATGATCTATTTCGTAGTCTCCATGCCTTCTTCTTTTAAATGGCTTGCACTTGTTCACTGTGGTGATAGAATGAAGAAATAATCAACAGTCAATCGCATTCAAGGTCATTATTATTTGATGATTGCACTCATGCTACACAAGCGGTCGCTTCAAAATACCAATCAGCCACGAGTTATTCTGACTCACTATAGGATGCAGATTTATGGGGTCTTCGACATATATATCATTGTAGCAAATATATTTTTTCAAGTCCAATATATTCCTTCTAAGATGGCTACAAAAAATGTCGCCAAACTTTCCAATGAAACTAACAGAGAACGTTTTTGCCAGATGACTCGTTGAAATGGTTTCTTTCGTTCTTACTATAATATTAATGTGAACACTATTCAAAACATTCACATTCAGTCACACATATGGACATGTGCTCAATGATTAAAACCAAAATGAATAAATTCAAATCGAACATGTAGTCATAGTCCTTAATTAAAGTTCGTCTACTGTAGAGTAATCTAAAAAAATAAATAACTATTCCGTCTTTGTGAAGAGCAAACCAAAATTTTTCACACTATATTAGTAAATTGTGTGAAGGTGTACTCAAAACATGGAGCGGTAACGCTTTCATATCTGTTCTTGTCTTTTAACCGAGTTTCAATAATGGGAAAGTATTATTCCGCACAATTCCTGAAATATATTTATTAAAAGCTCCTTTAGAATCTTACTATAAATGGCGATAATACGATACCGACCTATCACTGAAAAGAAGAAAGGAATATTCATTTTCTCAAAATATTTGGAACACCCAGAAGAGAGCTTCAAGGACTTCAAAAAGTGTGTATATTCTTAATGAGCACCAAATTCTAAATCTGGTGGGGACCATTTTCCTGATTCCAAAAAGCGACTGTTCATCTGTTTCAAACTTAACAGCGACAATTGAAGTTCTTCCACGCAGGTACACGAGTGGAAATTTGGCCGAATAGGTCAAAAGACGCGTCCACCGTAAAACGTAATCTGAGGTAGAGCTGTACAAATAAAATCGAACAAATCGGCCATGCCTACTTAATATTATAGAATAAGAAAAAAACTTAAGAGAGTCTTAGAAATTCTACATAATATTGCGCACTGAAACGCTCTTGATGTGCATGTCAGTCTGTCTCTTAATCGCTGTGGTAAAATGATCTCAAAAATGGGTATATAAATGTATATATACGGAATGTCCGCATTATCCCTCAAAAATAGAAAATATCAGCCACGCCCGCCCAACCTTATAGACTACGAAAGTTTGTTTTTTTCCCTTATTTTAGTCTTTTTTAAAATAGCAGCGATGGGTATAACATATTCGGCCGTAGCCGTAAATAATTTTCTTATTTAATTTCCCTTTTTTTTCTATTCACATTTTCATATTTTTAATGTAATTCCAACAATTTGTGTTGAGTTTCAGTTTTAAAGATTTTATTAAGTTCTTTACAATTCAGCTGATAATTAAAGTTGCAGCTAAGCTTTGTTTAATAAATAAACAAAAAATGACGTACATATATACACTTTCTCGAAATATGCGCGTATACTTTTCACTGCACATACGTGCATGTTTATCTCAATGACATTGTCACTTTATTCTTTGTATATTGCATAGAATAAAAGAGCCCAAACACCTAATGTGCACAAACAGAAGCTTAAAATTGACGAATAACGACCTACATAGACGCTGGAGAGTGCCCATTAAGAGCATTGTGTTATCGCTTCTTATTAGTATATAGTTTATAGTAGTGTCGTTTTTGTGTTTTTTTTCTTTTTCTGATTTTCAACTAAATTGAAAAGACAGTAAACTTGAAAGCGCAAAACGCGGAAATATTGTTGTAAAAATATGGAACGTTAAACGTTGTAAAAGCTAAACTTGAACAAAAAAAATAAATAAATAAATATTAATAATAAAATTTTAGAAAATTGTAAAGTCAGTAAATTTTGTGTGAGTTTGTGTTAATTGAAGTTCTTGAAAAACTTCACCTTGAAAAAGAATTGACATTAAATAGTTGAAGAAGTGCAAGCATTTTTTTTTATATGTTCTCATTTCTATACTCAGTGTTTTGCCCCTCTTTCCCTCTCTCTCTCTCTCTCTCTCTCTTTCTCTCTCTCTCTCTCTCTCTCTCTCTCTCTCTCTCTCTCTCTCTCTGTCTTTCTTTATTTCTCTTTCCCTTTGGTTCTCGTATTCATTTTTTTTCTTTCTCTCTATGAATAGTGAATCAAGGTATTATCTCATCTATACTATTATTGCCAATTTATTCTAAATTGGTTTCAACACAACGAGCTGCTTCAACTCTCACTCCACCTAAGCCTCCAGATTCAGAATTTATTGGTTTCCATTCAGTGACAGTAAGGACTTTGGTCAGAATGCCAGAAAAACATATACCTCCGAAAATTGAACGATTCGAAGATTTTGAAGTTCATTTAAGAGGGTAAGTAAAACAATACTCCTTCATTTGTTTGATCACTTTGTTAAACCGTTACCGTTTGGTCACGTGTTCATATTCTTGCTTTGAAGAAAGTGCGTCGTCTGTAAACATCGAAATTATATTTTAGACAATGTATAAAATACACTCTGTAGCCTAGTTTTGATTCTCGATGTCGAATAAGTTAAGGCAAACAGATACTTCGTCGATAGCTGTAAACTCCCTACTCGTTATAGCGAGTGCATAGTCCAAAACTATAGAGTTTACTCAATTTCGAGAACCATAAACCGGTGATTCTATTCCTAATGATGGCATCGATTTAGTGATGTCTGCCAACCAAACGTCTAAACTTTCTTGCTGGAATTCTTACTGTCGTTCGACTTTTTACTGCCCATTGAGATTGAAATGGGATACTTGTTGTATGCTTCCCTACGCAGATCAAGTTTGAATGTGAGCGTTTCATATCCGCAAACGAATCCAATATAGTCGATTGACTAATGGGCAGGCCTTGAAATAACAAAACGAGTGAAAATACTATAGGGGAATACAGCCCACCATTAAATACCCCATACCTTCCGTACACCTTCTTTAAAATAGTCATCCATCGAACGATGGGAAGTGATCGTCAAAGTGCCCCGATGGGAGAAATTTTCAAATGCGTCCATCCTTAGGCCAAAACACGTAGGTGTGCCAGATTTCATCATAATATTTCAAAAATTGCGTACTACAAATTGGACAAAAAAAACCAGATGGACAAGTTCAGATAGGTATAAAGGGTGATTTTGAATCGATAGGATCTCAAGTTCTTCTGGGTAGTGCGTATATCTGCACAAACTTAACACACCCTTGTGCCGCAAGTGGCGTAGGGTACAGTGATTGGTTATATTACGTATTCAGGATGATGAGCTCGTGCTTATTACTAGCTACAAAATTGTCTCCAAAGTCTTTCTTGCCCATACTCAATATCTGTTACTCCCTATCTGACAAACAATACAGTTTTTTATGCGAGCATGTAATAAGTCTGCCATTCTACGCCTTCGAAAATTCCTTCCCCATGAAACAATGTCGGAAACTACTAAATTTATGAACTATTGAAAATTCCTAAAGCCGGATAAACTCAGACAATCCGATTTTTTACTAGACATTCAATTCGCTTATTCTATTATGAAAATCGAATCATTCCACTAAACTGCCTACAAAATGGAAATAGTTCTTGAAAAGTCAAATTTTTAAGCCTGAGGAGATAAGAAAATGCGGAAATGGACTTATTGTGTAGGGTATGCAAAAGTCCTTACCGCCAACCAACAAAAAAATATTCTCTAATTGATTAGCACTGATAAGATAAGAAGAATAAAAATGCAATATTGATTACGTTCTAGAAGGCAATTATTCATTTCGCGCCAATCTAAAAAACAAGAAACTTGATAGTTTACTACGATTTTAGATCTCCCTCACTTAATTCGCTCAATAAGCGAACCCCTCAGTAAAATACTTCTATTCTACGGCAAATTTAGTGTAAAAATCGGAAAACGTTATATTATCGTACAGCATTTTGTTGTGTCCTTTAACCGATCGTTTAAGATGATGACGATGACCTTTTCATCTCCCCGGTTTGCTTCATACCATTAAATATTAATAAAAGTACACTAAAATTTGAAATATTTTCGAGACTCTTTTTAAACTTTTGCTTGTATGCTTGCGGATAAGCTTAAGCCATTTTTTCAAACCTTATGTCAAACCAATGCAACAGTTTAACAAAACATTTTTTTGACAATCTCTCTGGGACTGAAGAATGGGCGATACATTAATAATATTCGATGAGACTATTCAGCACATGTCTCAGTATTGAGAAAAAAAATTTGTGACCAAAAAGAGAATTTTTTATTAATAAGAGCCACGTCCCACCCTTAAATAGCTACATATAACAAGTTTTCGAAAAGTGCCTTTAAATTGAAAGTGGTTGAAATAGTGGTCCGATCCGAAAAGTTTGCAATAGCCTTCGTCCGTGCAACAAAACACGTTACTAGAATATCTCAAAAGTTGCGGCCTAAAGTTTGAAACCAGGAAAACCAAACGGGCAGACAGACAGGACAGCTTAGATCGCTTCAGATTCACTTTCTGAATGGTTCGATATAATAAAAGATGGGCCCATCTCAAGACCTTCGTTGCGCGCACGTGGTGTTGGGTATGAAAATTTTCGAAATAAATTATCGCAAATCCCTACGCGCTTCACTATAATACATCATTTTAAGATGTCGTAAAAACTCGAGCAAAAAAAACGGACAATTTAGTTGTTGCTCTGAAAGATCATGTTGCATTGAAAGATCATGTTTCGAGAAAAAGACTTATGAACTTTCGGAATGTGTTATAGACACGTTTGCAAATAATTTTTTTATTATTATTATTATTATTAATTTCGCCAGAAAAATAAATTCTAAGACCAAACTCTTAAAGCACTAGAATCTATCTACCTATCTATCGGTTTATATTAAAAACTCTAGCGCACTTGAGATTCGAACCCACGACCATTGAGTTGCTTGTCGAGATTCTTCGCCCTCGACCACTCAGGCGGACAAAAAAAAAAAAAAATTTTTACTATTTTTTCTATTAGCCTGCAATTCCACAACTATAAATATGTTCAGTCATCTTCGCGTATTCTTCCTCGTTCTGCTTCTTCCAATATCTCTTTCCCGAAAGTGCCTCTTTTGGGTGTGAAAGACAGAATGGCATCGTTTTCATCACGTATGCGGCGAATTAACAGAGAAAATGGCAAAACAATGTATAATTCTGTAGCTAAATTTATCGTCGTCATCAGAAACATCATTCTAGACTTAATATCTTAATAGTCTTATATTTACTCAAAACTCATATCAAACGTTAACTCGTGACGATTGTTTTATTTCATTCAATTTGCTAAGATTTATGATTTATTATGAAACCATATGGACACGTTTTAGTAATGTTTGTAAATTATCTGAATAATTTATCACAATCGGCATTCAGTCAAGGCCAGCTCATGTGCGCGTCCGTTAATTAATGACTTTGTCATCAATAATAGAAGTAGTTCAGGTAAAAGAGCAGTTGCGAATGGACTTCATAAAGTTTGTATGCCAGCAACAGCAGAATGGCAATGGGCGGACTTGCGACTGTAGCCCGAATTTATCGTTAACACATTTTGTGATACGAGGTACTCCTGTGGCCACTTTATGGGCCATTTTATTTTTATATAACGACTATCGTGTATGCAATCTTCAGGTAACCATATCCACGGAAAGGGTGCTTCTTCACCATTCTCGGTGGTGACGGTCCAAACTGTAAATCTAAATATCTTTAACACTTTTTAATAAGCAAAACTGGCTTATTAGTTGAAGACAGTAACCTACAGTCTGCTTTACATGCACAAAAATTGGTTGAGCATTCGGCGCGTTATTGAGAAAAGATGCTGGTGGGAGATGGAGAGACGCCCTGTATTAACGTTAATTTCCAATTTTTAGCTTACATTTTGAAACTGTATAAAGCCATAGAGAATAATCTATCGGGGGAAAATCGAATTAACCGAAAATCATGCACTGTTTCACACCGATTAAGAAAATATTTGATTTCCTTTAAATTAAAAGAAAATTAAAGAATTAAGATGAGGTTATCATACTACCCTTAATGCTTAGGATGTAATCGTTGTTTCAAGCGGTAAAGAGAGAGTTTTCGATTTAATTTTCAAATTTCAGTTCATTGAATCCCAACAAGACTCTAGCATTACTACTAGACTACGATGGCACTTTGGCTCCCATTGCTGATCATCCTGACAAAACCATTATGTCAATTGCAATAGAAACTATTCTAAATAAATTGGCCAAGAACCCCAACATTTTTCTCGCGATCATCTCCGGTAGAGCCCTGGATGATATAAAAAATAAGATAGGAATTAATGGAATTACTTATGCCGGTAATCATGGCCTTGAAATTGAGAGTGCGGACAATAGTCGACACGATTATCGCCTTTCCGAAGAAATCCTAGAAAACTATAACCGCCTTGTAAAAGATCTCCAGGAAAATGCCGTTAAAAATAATGCTTGGGTTGAAGATAAGAGAATCTCATTGTCATTTCACTATCGTGCTGTTCCCGTTAATATGAAAGCAGCTGTAAAGCAAGAAGCGACACGAATTATTGAAAAACACGGCTACACAGCTAATGCAGCACATGAGGCCATCGAAGCCAAGCCACCGGTTGTTTGGAATAAAGGTGAGGCCTCCGTATTCTTACTCAAAGAACAATTTGGCGAAGATTGGTCAAAAAAAGTGAATGTTGTTTTTGTCGGTGATGACACCACTGATGAAGACGCTATGCAGGTAAATACTGAATTATTATTATTGTTATTGTTCTTGAAAATTTTCTTGATTGTTAAAGAAATTGCAAGGCGTTGGAAAATCGTTCAGAATATCCTCAGATCCCGAAATGAAAACATTTGCCGATTTTCGTCTGACAAGTCAAGATTTAGTTGGGGATCTTCTAAGCTGGATTTCTAACACATACGAAAACGAAGAATGAGTTGGATCTTAAGATTTTGTGTATAAAAAATACAATTTTTCTTCAAATTTATATTAGCGACGTCTATAACGTTTTTTATACAAATATATACACATTTTGATATTTTTTTTGCTATTTTTAAAACTTTTATAAAAATATATTGAAAATGTCTTCGCAAAGTCTTTGCTTTTGACAACATTTTTTGATTTTCAGCAGAGAGCGTAGTAACTTTATGATTTCTGCGGTGTTTTTTAAATCCTCAATCTTTGTACTCGTCAACGAGGGACTCCAGAGACTCTATATTCTCCATCAGTATCAAATTCTAAACCGATACAAGCATGTCTACCTAGCCTGGTCGCAAAAAAGAAGCTGTCTGCTGCATTTTTAGTAAATAGCTTTTGCAGGCTGATATCGAAATTCGGCCAAATCGGTCAAACGACGCGCCCACAGTACAACATAATCTGAGATCACCTCTGTTTTGAAAAACAAAAAGAATGTAGTTTTCCGCTCGTTGCTTGTCAATCACAACAGATGTAACGATAAAAATTGGCATTTTTATTCTAGAGGTGGTCCTGCTCGCACTTGGGCAAAAAGAGGAAAAAATCGATCGTGCCTGTTCGATATTATAAAATATTTCAATTTCATTCTTTTGCAAAAAGTTTGCAACACTCTAAATGAAGCTTTAGAGACTCTGTAAAGTCTACGTATTAATTATTAGTATCAAATGGGAATCGTTCTAGATACTTTTGTCAGTCCATCCGTCCGTTTTTTTCTTAATTGCTTCGGTAAATGTACTTCTAATTCTATTCCAAAAAAATGAAAAAACCATCCACGCCCATCCAATATTGTAGAGTATGAAAATTTAGTTTTTTCCCTGTTTTGAATTACTTTTAGCATAACAATAACAGATTTGGTCGTAGCCGAACATAAGTTTCTTCCTTGTTTTTCTTACATCGTTCTATTGTTAAGTGAAAATGTTAAGTAATATTATATGAACTTTGACGCATAACGTAAAAAGTATAATATTTATGACAATTCTTGATGTTTTGTCAAAGGTATAGTTAGCTAAAGACAAAAGTTAGGCTCATGTGTGGACAGCAATGGGAGCAATTTCCAAATAAAGTAAAAAGCATTATGATGGAGCATGCCCTACTGCAAAAGAATTCATGCAACGGTTTCTCAAAATGTGGCATTATATGAGAATTAGTCGAAAATTGGCTCGATCCGAACCATTTTTAATAGTTTTTGTCCTTGGGCCAAAACACGACGATGTACCAAATTTCATCAAAATAAGTAAAAAGTTGCACCCTGTACGTTGCACACAATAAAGAAGACGGACAGAAGGACAGACAAGCTGAAAGCACTTCCTGAATCGGTATAATAAAAAGTGTCAAGTCCTTCTGGATATTGCATACATCCGCCAAGCATAATTTGCTTATGTACGACATGTGGTGTAGGGTACAAAGGAAAGACAATGAGAACATGAAGAAATTTCAATTTTATTTCTTTTGACCTACAGTTCGTATAGAACAGGTAGGTAAATCTTTTTAAGCTCAAGGTTATTTATGCGAAACAGAAATGCTTTCAAATGTGAGAATAATTATTGGAATTTTTACATATTTCATGGAAATTCGTTGTTTATTTATTTGTTTACATATTTGCGTGTTCTCCTTATTGCTCACTGTCCAAGTCTTGTGGCATGTTAAGACTGCTACGTTACATGCTGCAGTAGCTTAGTCGCATTTCTTGCAAATTTTAATCCACATACGGACCTAAGTCGATTTGTGAATTGATAGTTACTGGTACCCCTCACACGCCCTGCGCATAGGCGGTATCGGCCGGTTATTAATCTCGTTTGTTACGTTAGCTTTTAATTAAATATAGTATTAAAATTGGATTTGTGGACTCGTCAATTATACGAACTTGATAATCATTTTGGTGCACTTTGAATCTGTGACTGAAAATGGTGACGGAATTTCGCTCTCTCATCAAAAACAAAAAAAACTTTCTGGCGGATTCATCATCATAACCTATCTGCCAAAGTGCATTTTTTGAAATAAATTCGTAAAATTTTCTGCGAAGTTTTGCTGATAGAGTCTTTGCTGCCGTTATCTGGATGTTACGAAAATATTGGCAAAGTTAATATACCTCTAACGCCTATATTCCATGAAAATTTAAATATACTGCACCAAACTTATTTCTGCGAACCATTAACTACAAACAATTCCTTATAAGAAATATATTTACGATCGTTTTGAATAGTCGTGTGATGTATTTAATCCATATATAATGGTTTAAGAAAGTCGTATGTGTTGTAAGCTACGATGTTCTTGCATATTAATAATATATGGCCCACAAGTTTTTAAATATAGCGATCAAAAATTCGGATTTCTCTTGGACCCCTTCTTATAGAACGATCCATCAGTCCTTCAATAACCACGGGTGCAATTAGTTGGACACATTTTCGCTCATGACATTGAAAGTCAAACATCTGAGTGATATCTGTAAGGATTTTGGGTGTTTACCCGGCCTATTCCGTATGTCACTGTTAATTTCTAAGTTGAGTAGAGGGCATTAAGCAAGAAAGCTTTAGCTTTATAGCACAAACAGACGCACAGACATGGCTAAATCAAGACTACAGATATTTCAGACAGTAAAATATATGCACGACCGCAAAGCCTGAACGCTACTGCATTGTTTTGTACCCTATACCCATTGTGGAGCAAGATTGTATTAAGCTTTAGGGAATGTGTGCATCACCGGGTCTTGAGATAGACGCAGAATCAATTCTAAGACTGTTCGTTGGTCTGCCCACGTTCTTTCTCGTGTTTACCCAAATGCCGCAATTTTTAAAATATTTGGACGATATTTGGTACACTGACATGTTCGGACCCACGAACGAACGCTAATGAAAATGATGAGGACTGGACCATTTCTCCGACCACTTTCCCTGTAACGTCTTACTTTGTATGAATAACAGCATGGTGATGGACCGTAGGGCCCACTAAAGAGTTTTACTAGTTTTACCACGAGTTCATTTTTTCTGAAAACGAGTTATTTCAGCGCTCTTCCAGACAAGGAATCAAAGCTAACCTTTAATTAGAATATGTCCTTTCCCTATTCCTGAGTAAGACACTATTACTTTACAGCTTGCCTCTTGAAAAAAAAAAAAAGAAAAAGTAAAAAGTGACGAGTTGCCAAATTAAATTAAACGTACGTTTTGTTTACAAACTCATATGTGCGCTTGTGCATGACTGCTAGCATATACGTGCGCTTTACTACGCTTCCTCTCTCCCTACCCACAACAATCAGAAAATGGAAAATTATTTTTTCCAAAAAAAAAGAAAAAAATAATTTCAGATGGAAATACACAGGCTCCTCATACATATATAGGGCGATGAACCATTTTACTAATTAAAAATGCGTATACTGAAAATATGTGAAAATATATATGTGGGAATATGTATAATATATATAAATAACATATGAGCAGAATAGGTGCCTGTATAAGAAGCTTTTCAACGTTAATAAGAAGACGTCTCTACTAAAACACAACACTCAAGGCAAAAATAATAAATCTATGCGTACATATATCGCCTCTTATAGGAGTATATGATAAATAGATATTCAGGTCTTTTCTTATAGGGGCCAACAGCTTTCTCTTCTTCTTTCGAGATTATCGTATTTTTTTCTATGCTCAAATGTTTTAATTTGTTAAAATATATCGTTTACTCATGGAACACTATAAATCTTTCAGCAAAAAATTCCTCCTTTACCATGCTTCGCATTTGTACCAAAACGATTTTGATGAGCATTTTTACTTCCATCTCATAGTTACTTGACGAATGCGCTATCAAAACGCTTTTGCATTTTGTTGAAACCATTTTTACCAACAGATGGAACCATTGCAGTTAATGGCGACCAGCGATTCCAGCGCTTTCCTGTGTTTCTTTTTTCGACAAATTTGAAGGATTATCCTTCATAGCTTCAACATAAAAACGCGAAAAACAGTCGAATTATCGGCGTTTATTAGGCATGGCACTGTACCTTTCTAGTTAAGCGTCGCTTCCGTTTTGGCGTTTTGTAAGAGACAAATTAAGGAGGGTGCCACCTCAAATGCTAGAAGTAGAGCACGCGGGAGCAAGAAATTTACAATATGTTGCATCTCAAAAGTCTCAAAAGTTAGTGCGTTGTATGTATATTACCTCCGGCAAAAAACCCGACTTCAAAAATTTTCGTTGAAGTAACTTTTATACCCTCTCTCACTTGTGGCACAACGGTAGCTTTAGTTAGTACAGATGTATGCAAGAGTCAGAAAGAGTTGAGACACACCTTTTATTACACCAATTGGTTTACCGAATCGATTTAAACTTGTCTGTCCGTCTGTCAGCCTTCTGTTTAGTCTACAAACCGCACTTTCCAAGATATTTTGATGAAGTTTGATACACCGACGCGTTTTGGCCCAAGGACGAATACTACTTTTCCACCACTTCCCATATATGGCCTTATATTCAAAAATCTGTATACGAACAAATGTGTTAAGTGAAGTCGAATAGGTTATTTAGTGGTGTGCCAAGTGGTATAGGGCTTTTAGTTGTTTTTTGTAATGAATCTTTTAATGAATTTTTATTAATTGCTGAGACTTGATATTGTTCTATGGTTTTATTGAAGAATATTTTGACATCAAGAACAGAACCTTCTACAAAATTTTAATTCATGATATAAGAAAAAGGAAAAGTCTGCCCCTTTGCTACTAAAGGGTGGTTTCAAGGCTCGGTTAAAATGATTTTTAAATTTCGCCTAGCGAGTGGTAAGCCTGCTTGGGAAGCAAGTTTTCTGTTGCGGATAAGGTTACCGGCCCACGATTTCGCCAAGCCAGCTTCGCCAAGACATCACGTTAAGTAAGAAGGTATGCGTGCGCCTAAAGGTATTCCTATGCGTTACAAAAATTTTAAATACTTCCCAGCATTCCTTACAGAGTATGAACATAAAAGTGATATGCAAAAAACTTGAATCATCCTAATAGATCTATATGATGTGCTTATGAGAAGATGTCAAGATCCAAAAAATATATGTCTGCATTAATTTTAGAAATGCGCAGAGAGAAATGAAAAACAATTCTTTTGTTTTTGGAGATCTCTTTTTCTAAACACAGAGATCGTGAATATTACCGTCATTGCTGGTAAAAAGATCAGTTTGAATATATTTTGGTTAGTATTATAAAAGTGTTCGCATTTCATAATCATCACAGCACGCGTTAAAATCTTGATTTTCTTAAGTGTGTAAGCGAACCAACTAAAAAAAAAAAAAAATTATAAAAATATAAAAGCAAAATGGCGGAACAAAAGAAAGCTCCTCTTTTAAAGAAAGAGGAAGATTATGTTAAAGCCTTAGAAGGGTAATTATAAAACGAATGGATTTTCAAAGCCACATTCCTATGATTCAAGTTGTATTATTTTACAATGGAAATAGTTTCATTAATCCCGAGGCGGATCAAGTGGCTTTGCTCTTGGATTACGATGGCACTTTGGCCCCATTAACTGAAGAGCTCTCAGTTATGCCTAAGGATACCGAAATCAATATAAAAAAATTGGCTGGCAATGAGAAAATTTTTATGTGTGTCTTCTCGGGACGTGAATTAGAAGCCATTAAGAATCACTTGAAATTCCCAAATGTTACGTATGCGGGCAATCACGGGCTGGAAGTGGAATATCCGTCCGGAAAGAAATTCAAGATTGAAATGCCCGAAGAACTATTGGAAAAGCATAATAAATTAGTAGAAGAATTGAAAGAAAAAGTAATTTATATTTTTCCTTATTGTTATTCGAAAAATGAAAAAATTAATTTTCATTTTCATTTTTTCTATATTTGTAGGTAGTGTGCTCTGGAGCTTGGGTGGAAGATAAGAAAATATCTGTTACTTATCATTATAAAGGAGTTAACGACAAATTGAAAGCCAAATTGATAGAGACTGCTAAAGGTCTGATTCAAGGTCACGGTTTTCAATTGATCGAAACCCCCTATGCCTTGGAAGGCAAACCACGTGTTAACTGGGACAAGGGTAAGTGAAATTAAAAATAAAATCAAAAAAAAAAAAAAACACCTCTTATGAGTGGCAACTTAAAAGCAATAACTATATTTTTTTGACAAGCGCAAAAAAAATATAACACATTTACGAGTATATATACCAAAAAGCAAAAAAATTTGAAAAAAAATTTTAGTTAGGAGAAGGCATGAAAAAAATCTCGGAAATTTCTTTTTCGGGACTTTCCTATCCTCCAATCATAAATAAGTGATAGAAAGCAACTCATTTGAGATTGGAAGAGAAAAAAAGAGAAAGAGAAAGACTATACCGTAATGCCTTACTTGTCAACCCAATAAAAATGATTTTGTTAGACTTTTGCGTAGGCGTTTGGCTTAAAGACCAGTCAAAAAGTAAAAATATATACTTAAAAATATAAGAAAAAAAATTTAAAAGAAATAAAAAAAAATGCGACAATCATTCGTTGTCATAAAAAAACTGACTTGATATATAAACTTGAATGAGTGGATATGAAACGAAACGCTCATTTCTCTTACACACATATACATATATATATATATATATATATATAACGTGAAATATATAATGAAATTAAAAGAATTTTCTTTAATAACCTCTGGCCGATGATTAATATTATAATCTTTAAAATGGTATTAAATTTTAACAATTTTTGAAATTATAAACACTTACATAAGGAACAACAACAGTCTGCGCGCACTTAATGCTGCAGGCATGGCTGCGGTTGCCAAGTAAATATATCAGAGTGTTTACGTTACAAAACCAAAGAAATTTAGAAGTACGCTAAGCGAAGGAATCGTCAATTGCGATAAGATAGACGACTTTAGCCCAACATTATCGCTTGCGTAAACGTTTACAGGTAGTGTTTCGTCTTGATGGTGTCACAATTTTACTTCCTTCTTTTGAGACTATCTCGGAAGATCTAAATACTCTTCAAATCTGCTTGAATACATCAGCAATCAGAAATATTTGCAAATTTTTAAAAAATTCGCCTTAAATTATGGAAATTTAATATACGATTCGCGAATAATTGGACATTTAGCGAGCAAATTCTATATAACTTACATACTTTATAATGTTACCAATGCTATGTGAATATTGAATAATTATTCTGCTATCCCAGGACCTAATCATTTTTTGAACCAATGCTTGCTAGCATACTCGAACTAAGAGGTGAGGGAGTGCGACAGACCGCCACGAGCGATATAACTTCTAGACCTTCTGGTGAAATAGACAACTATTTTCATGGAAGCATTGTTGTAGCTGGCAAAAGAACAGTGATAATGAGATTTGAGGACTAATGGCGGGCCCCGCGGCCTCTTATGCATTCAGCAATTTATTTTTATATCCGCCCGCAGAGGTATACGTGCACAAATTCATTTTGTACTCATCACTAGAGGATTCGATTTCCATTAGGGCGCCCTCAGACATCCTGCATATTCAGTTTGTCACTTTAGTTTGTCACCCAAAAATTTAAATGGGAAACTGGAAGTTTTTTCATTTCTTCAACACAAACTTTTTAAGATTTGTTCACAAAGCCTGAAAAGCTAAAACAAACATAAAAGTCACAAAGATTTCACATTTAGATCAGATATTTACCCGAACGGTAAATCTGCTCAACAACAGTTACGGATTTTCCTTGAAAAATTTCGAGCACCGAACGAAATTAAGAAAAGCCTGCATAAGAAAAAAACAAATGTAAGTAAAATTGAAACGAAAAACTGGATAAAGATTGAATGAATGGAAAATAACCTAAATGAAAGATTAGTCAATATTTGCATTCCACCAATGATGAAATCATTTTAAATATGATTCCAACTGGTTGAGTCTTTACAACCACAACGAATCATGGCCACATCTTTGTAATTAATTAAGAAAAATATTTACTAGAGTTTGTGGCGACCTGTGTATATATTCTTGAAGCAACGCATAAATAGGAGCAATAGCGGGTTGATACAACAAAGCTTCGCTTGCTTTCCCAGGCTCGAGGAATAAATTTACTTTATAAATATGTATATACATATACATAAATATATGATCTCCCCCATATATCGGAACACCAACAAAGACCCATGGCGTCAACACGCATAACTTTTTTGGGGATTTAATATAATATGAGGATTTTTTTTTGAAAAATTTCTTAGTCAATTTTCGATGTTCATATTTTCTGTTCACATATCTTTTAAATTTGTCAGTTAACGGTAACTTCAGTATCTGCAAATATTACAGAACAGTCAGTCAACTTGACAAAACAAACAGTCCAGTATTGAAAATGCGTTCATAATGAATTATTTGCTGGCAAAAAGTCTATACCTCCTGGAAAAATCAAGCGTACGAGTTTTTCTTAAGTGTTATTATATTGGTATTAGTGTCGACCCATAGAAAATAATATTTCACAGTTATTTGATTATTATATTAAAATTTGAGAAAATGAAAAAAAAGAAAATGCTCCTCAGCAATTAAAGATGCCAACGTATTCTCCAAAGTAGAAAGAAAAAAAACATAAATTTTTTGTAAGAAAATCTGAAATGAAATGTTGGTGCCGTCTGAAAATAAACATGAAAAATGCAAAATTTATACACTTTCTCAAAACAATTCAAATTTATACGTGCGGATGAGTATAAACGCAGAGCTATTCAAACATATGAATATGCATATTATGTTTATATTTATATGTGTTAGAGATGTTTGTTTGTTGTGGCTTTTTTTAAACATATTTCTCAAAAAAAATATAGGGTATTTAATTCGCAAGATATTTATTTTTTTTTTTTTTTATACGTAAAGCGTACATATAAAATGACATCTTCAGAAATTCCTTCGGCGACATACGTGAACCGAAAGCAAAACTGAATTAAAATGATTCGGAAAATTTTATTTGCTACGATATATAATATGAAAATTAATGAATATAATATACTCCTGTTCTCCTTAATTAACCTCATTTTACTTCATTTTGATATTGAACTAATGCCTTTGACAAAGGATACGCACGCTGGCAAGGATCTTAATCACCTGAAGTAAATATTTAAATACTTCGGTCCAACTTTTTTTGTTATATTCAACCTTTAAACCACAATTTTTGAGATATGTTGATAACTCGTCTGTGTATGCTTATGCAGAGTATATTCACTTGTTGTTTCACGGTATTCGATGAAGATGTTCATTGCAAACACTAATTCATGACACATTACAACGAGTTTTAATGGTGGGTGAAATCTAACTCTTCAGTGGTAAATACCTCGAAACCTAAAATAGTGAGATTTCGTACCGTGGGTTTTTTTAGCGATATGCGAATTTAGATGGAAGGAAATGGATAGGCACCGGTGAACAAGTTGAAAATTTTGAATACTCTTTGAATGTTGAAGGACAGAGAGTTTTTTACACTTCCACGACTATATTGTTCTAATGTGTAAAGTACAGAATAACCTATGCTCTGATGACGTCTCAGGTAACGCAAATTATAATAACATATCGCCATATGTCAACAACTTAGTAAGATGTACTTTTGCCAATTTCCTAACAATAAAATGCCTTTTAAGTTTCTATAAAATAACCAGGAGCGGTAATCCACGGTTTTCAGCACACAGACTTAACTTTTTGCATTTCTCAAAGAGTGCGCAAATATTTATTCCCTCCGTAAACGAAAGTCTGTTTTGATCATAGTTGTTCATTCGTGGAACTATTTACCCACAGAACTGCGATCATTCTCTTATTCTCCGTCTGTGTACAAAAAAAAGAAGCCCATTGAACACAATCAAAGAAACTTGATTTGTTGTTATGCATCCATTGTTGACTTTGGACTTTGATTCATGTTATGTACCTTCTCAAGTAGTAAGTGCTATAGGTTGGATCTGTTAAGAAAACATTAGTATTACAAACGTTACTATATGGGTTTTTTAAATTAAGAAGAATATGTTCAATTATAGTATGGGCTTCTTATATTACTCAATGGTAATAGATAAAGCAAAAAAATAAGTAATAATATAATAATAAAATAATAAACTGGTTGCAGCGACGAGTTTTGGACTAAGGGCTATCGGATCAGAGAACGTTTTCGCCCCCTTCCCATACACCGCCCTATTTTGAATAACTGTAGAATGGTGTAAGATATTTATTGATGGACTGCGACCTACTAAAAAAGTTTGGTATAAATATTTACACAATAATTTCAATACGTTTTTCAACGCAACGATTAAAAAAAAAAAGAGTCGTTGCGAATTTTTAAAATGTGGACGTCACACACGTCGCAACAAATTGAATATAATATTCTTCATAGTTATAGGTGGTTTATCTCACAAATCTTCGATGGTGAATGTAAAAAGACCAAAATTATTATATTTTTTTTTATTTCCTGTATTCAAATCAAATGATGCGTATATTGTAAGGTATAATAAGACATACAGGCACTTAAAGAATTGTGTATAGGCGCACATATTTACACTTACGTTGTAGGCAAAATTATACTTTTACACAAATACACACTTATATATGTATATATATATTTACATATATGAAATATTTGGAATTTTTCACTTTGCTTAGTCAAAATATATACGCCAATGCGCATATAATTGTTGTTGCTGACTTTTCTTTAATATTTTTTGTGCGACCTTCACGGATACATATTTCTTCCAAATATTAAAATGAAACCTTTAGATGTTTATAATAGGTGCAAATTAATAATAGTATAATGAAAATTTCTTAAGGCATTCTTTTTTTTTGTCGTGTCAAAAAATCTGATCGAAACCGATGCCAAATCTACAGATACAAAATTAAGAAGATTAGTTGTTTTTCGAAAAAATAGATACAAAAAAAAATTATATACATATATGTATAGACAAAAACTCATGAGTACCGACAAAGAATGAAATAAAAAAATCAACTAGCATATAAATTTAAGAAATAGCTTTACAAATGCAAAAAAAAAAAAAGAAATAACAATAGCAAATAGGCAGATGAACAAATATTTTTTAACGTTAATTGTATTATTCGATAGAATCGAATATATTTCTTTTTAATCACTTTTAACTTTATTGAAATGCTTTTTTTTTTTTGTCATTTTAGGAGAAGGTGCCAAAATGATTTTGGAAAAACATTTCAATGCAGATTGGGCTAAAAATTTGAAAATTATTTATTGCGGTGACGATACTACCGACGAAGATGCCATGAAAATGCTCCATGGTATTGGTAAAACATTTAGAGTATCTGAGTTGCCTACATTGAAAACCTATGCCAATTATCAAATTAAAACCGTTGAAGAAGTCGGCTGGCTACTGAAAGCTGTTCAAGCCAATTATGAGAAAAAGAAGAAAAACTAATTTCTCATTACAAGTTTTCTTATATATATATATTCACATCAAAAAAATATTACATAGAGAAACTGAAATATTTTGTCACGAATGGACTTGAACTTCTTTGAGCTATTGAGTTAAATGTTCTAATCTATGTATAATAAATGGGTGCACAAATGTAAGTACATCGTTGATGTTCGAAAGGCTTTTAAATCAAAATGTTTTAATAACTTTTTCGTATATAATATTTTTGTAAACATACACGCATACTTGACAAATGGAGATAAGAATGTTGTGTTTCATGAGTTTATTGACAAGAAAAACAAAAAAATCTAATAATCGCAATACATGCGTATGTAATCGAATCAACTGTCGCTTTTATATTGAGTAAAATATTAAAATAAACTTTTTATGTACTAAAAATATATAAAAACATACCATTATTCAGAGCTAACGATTTTCCAGCCACGATTTAAGAACATCTCATATTTGCAAAATCCTCTCCTCAAATCGCCTAAAATGCGACTTTCGCGAATGTGTGGGCGCTACGAAAAGCTAGCATTATCAAAAACTGAAAATTCACTTTCAGAGAAAAACGTTAAATTTTGACAAAGTAATAAGAAAACTTGGTATCATTTTCAACAGGGCTGCCAATAGTTAAATATATCTGGTAATATTAAATGGTTGTAAATTTTCAAAGTGCTCGGGTAAGTAAAAAAAATCTTTAGATCTAAAAATTGTATGAAGTCTCAAATAGTAAAAATTTTAAATTTCAAATAAAAGCTTGTTTTTTATTCAGTACATAAGGCAAGCAATTCAGATTTTAGTTCAATTGTGGGCAACGTTTTCAATTCATTAAAATATAATTCGTAATATTAAATGGTTGTAAATTTCCAAAGCCGACAATTTCACTACGCTCGGGTAAGTAAAAAAAACTTTAGATCTAAAAATTGTGCAAAAGTATGAGGTCTCAATAGTCACAAAAAAAAAAGAAGGCAATCAATTCAGATTTTAGTCTTCCTAATTCATAAAGTGCCTTGCTTTTTCTTTTCCCAATATATTTTAAATCATAATAACAATCAGCTTCTTATTGGTATTTGTAAAAGCTAAACATCTAATTTTAACTACATAGGGCGAGGGTAAAATCAATTAGTTTTAATGGTTGCTCGAAATTCGCCTAATGGGAGCTATAAGAAACATTATCGCATGCAGTTTGTTCTTCTGATGAAACTTTTTTTTCTTCCGTGCATGTGATTTTAAATTAGGGATGCGGTGTGAAAAAGACAGACAACGTGATATATATATATTTTTGTTGTGATATTAGCAAAACTTTGCCGTTAGTCCTAGATAATTAAAGAATGTTGGTAACTTTCTTCTAATCGGTACAGAAATTGCAAAATGTAAACAAAGAAGAAGAAATATTATCATGCGTAGACAAGGAAGACAAGTCATCAGATGTTAAAAACTTCAAATATATTTCAAAGAAAATAAACAAATTACCAGAGTATGGATACTAAATTGGAGGTAAGTTAAATCAAATAATCTTAGGAACCAGGTTTGTTTATATAAGCGTTGACTTGTGCATGCAGATGATGGACGATTACTCGTCGCAGAGCCTGGAAGGTGATATGTCAATACCAGCAGGGACAAGCAGAACAAAAGCAACGATAGGCTCGCCAGACTTTAATACGTTGGATGAACCTATTAAAGAAACTATAGTAAGTCTTTTCATTAGTTAGTTAGTTATTTTAAAGGATTTGTTAACTCTTTTGGAAATTCTTATTGAAGTTACGTGATATACGAGCAGTCGGTATAAAATTTTCTCATGTTTTGTATCCCAAAGAAAAATCGACTTTACTTAAAGACTGTAAGTAAAATAAATCTGCCATTTTTGACATTAATAAAATAAATTTAGTGATGTCATGTGGTAGGGGATCTTTGGGGTCCCTTGGTGTTGTGTACTCTTATGGCAACAATGCTGCAGGGTTCTTCAGATCGTGAGTATGACGGAGGGCCGGAATTCGCACAGGTCTTTGTAATAGTATGGATAGGTGCTGCAGTGGTTACATTAAATTCTAAATTACTAGGCGGAAAAATGTAAGTTGATTTTATCCCGCAACAAAAACTTATAATATTTAATTATTCAATAATTTCTTCTAGTTCTTTCTTTCAATCTGTGTGCGTATTAGGTTATTGTCTGACGCCGGTAGCTTTAGCTTTGATTACATGTCGCCTTTTACTCTTATCACAGCAAACAAACCTTTTATTCGTTTTGCGTTTAATAACAACAACAATAGGTTTTTCTTGGGCCACTTACGGTAATCTTATTTATGCATTGCTGTAAACAGAGTAATATATCAGTTTCTACTTTAATATTATCTTTTAGCCTCCTTCATATTCTTAGGGGAAAGTCAACCACCCAATCGTAAGCCATTAGCCGTTTATCCCATGTTTTTGTTTTTCTTTATAATTTCTTGGTTGGTCATTTCACACAATCAATAATAGCGCAAATCGTGTTTTTTAATTAAATAAAAAAAAAAGCAAATCAAAGTATACTTTGAGCATGTCCAGTGTATCTAATTAGAGTAAATAAAAATATACAATTAAAAAAAAAGAAAACCTAATTTGTTTTTGTTTCCAAAAAAAAGTTGCTATAAAACATTGAACGTGTGCTTCTATCTAACGTTAAGTGTAGGATTATATGCCGTGCTCATAAAAAAAAAAATGAAAATCAATGCAAATGATGACAAACTCAGTGGCAAGTGTTTACTTTATATTATCAATATTTTATTAAAATTTCAGGAAATCTTACGTACGTATGAGTTTATTACGGAGGTAGTAAAGGCAGTTAAAACGTTTCAACTTTTTTGTAAAATTAAATTAATTATTGTTAGACTGTGCTATTCTCTTTTTTTTTTTTTTTGATTTTTGCTTAGTGTAACGTAGTTTAAGGTACAAAACTCTGCAAATATTTATAAATAAACAAATTTCAAGTGCTTGTCCCTTCCAAAATAAAAAAAAAAAAACAAATATAAACTTAGCTAAACATTTTCGACATCAATATTGTTCGAATTAGATGCTATCTCCAGGGACATTTGAGTGCGAACACCATCGACACGAGGATTACGATACGTTAGGGAATTGGCTCTGGCTTTGCGACCCATGAAGTGCCTCTCAACCCATTTTAATAAGGTGTAAACTGAGTCGGTTGAAGGTAGACGATGATCGGCTGCAGTTTTTACTATGTCCGAGGATGTGACACGAAAAGTTCTCGCCATACCTTTTAATGCTACCATGGCATCTTCGTCTGTAAGATCATCGCCCACGTAAATGATTTTTATACGTTCACTCCAGTCAACACCAAAGGAAGTGCGTAGTATGTATATGGATGCACGTCCTTTATTCCAGGGCACAGGCGGTCTCGCTTCCAAAGCGCAGTGGGCTTCAGTGGCCCGAAAACCGTATTTTTCTATAAGCCCTCTAGCTTTCTCAATCATGGCCGGTCTTAATTGGTTCGGTGTTTCACGATAGTGGAATGTCAATAGGGCACCTTTATTTTCCACCCAAGCACCATCGCGACACACCTTTAAGAATTCAATATGCTTTAACATTTTTTATTTGACATTTTTAAAATGATAAACTCACCGAATCTTGTAACGCTTTTAACAGGCCGCTAACTTTATCTTCGAAAGCAATGGGCATTGGGTGCACGAATTTGCTACCGTCCGGATGCAAAATTTCCAAGCCGTGATTACCCGCATAGGTAATACCGTCGATTCCAACCATTTTTTTAACATTATCTACATTACGCCCAGAAATTATGGCAACGTAGACATCCGAATGATTTGACAATTTGAACAATACATTTCTAATTTCGGGTGAGAGAATAGCCAAATCGGGATGTGGTGCAATAGGAGCCAAGGTCCCATCATAATCTAAGAGTAGAGCCAATTTGTGATTATACCCAATATATCTGCAACAAATAATAATAATTAAAAATTTTCAAGCAGTTGTTCAAGTATCTTACTTCAGTAGGTAATCATCAAAATCATCTACGGTAACTGGTTGCATTGTAGTTGTGCCCACATCATCCATTTCTAATGTGCCCATAGCTTTTAAAAAGCACCGCATCCAATGACTAACATCACATTCGGCTTCACGTCGTCGTAAACGGCTCATGCGTAGGATTCGTTCATCTTCGGGCATTGTGAGAGCACGATGTATTATCTCCGCCGCTTGATGCACTTCATATGGATTACTTAGCAAAGCTTCGTGCATCATTTCACCAGCGCCCGCGAAAGGAGAGATAATTAATACCCCAGGAACATCGTTGATTTGACAAGCTACAAATTCTTTGGCTACTAAATTCATGCCATCTCTCAACGGTGTTACTAAGCATATAGCGGCGTCGCGATAGAGAGCTGCTAACTCATCCTGACCCACGTAATCATAAATGTAACGTATAGGTGCCCAATTGGCAGTGGTGAAACGTCCGTTAATCCGACCAATCAATTGATCTACTTCTTCTTTCAATTCTTTATACTCCTTAACGTCAGTGCGAGAAGGCACAGAAATTTGTAAAAGTGATACTTTTTCTTTGTGCTGAGGATATTTCTCAAGTAAAACCTCAAAAGCCATTAAACGATGAACTAAACCTTTAGTGTAATCTAAGCGATCGACACCTAATATAGTCTGTTGCTCGGAAGTTTTTAACACATTCGGTGCTTTCTGAGCCAATTTAACAAAGCGTTCATAAGGTATGCCAATAGGTAAAGGCCGTATACGTACAGTACGACCGCCATGTTCAACCAGCAAATTATTACGATCTACACGACAACCCAAGTTACGCTGACAACAGTCGACAAAATTTAAACAATAGTCTTGTATATGAAAGCCTACCAGATCACAGCCCAACATTCCCTGTAGGATTTCATCTGACCAGGGAAACAAACGAAATATGTCCCATGGTGGAAATGGTATGTGTAGAAAAAAAGCTAAACGACAAGGCAACTTTTTCTCTTCGGCTTCTTCGCGTATCCAATTGGCAGCCAGCATTAAATGGTAATCATGAATCCAGACTATAGGAGCGTTTTTATCATGTCCATTACTCTTAGACAAACATTTTTCCAACGCTTCTATAGTGCGCGACGCAAAATGTTTATTGACCGTAATATAATCATTCCAATGATCCGCTCCGAATGTGGCCCGACCGGGCATCGAGTGAAATAAAGGCCAGAAAATCTTATTGCAGCAACCATTATAATAGCTGTCAAATATTTTCGGATTTATATTCACAGAGACCACCTAAATAAAGAAAGATGCATGATTGACAGTTGCCTTATTTATTTATTTATTTTTTTTTTTTTGAAAAATCAAAACTAACCTGACCAGATTTAAGACCCGCAGTCGGTGTCTGATCATCGGGATTTGATTCCGGTATAGGTTCATATGGGTCATCTAAATGTATACCAGCCCAACCCACCCATAAACCATTACCTCTTATCACTACAGGACATACGGCCGTAACCAATCCTCCAGCGCTGCGAATATTGAAAAAAAAAAACAATGAAAATTAATAACTTTTACGAGAACTGTACTTATATAATATGCAGCTTATGCTCAGAACGTACAGACAAACAGTAAATTTTAAAGTTTCACAGATAAGGCTTTGTTTTCATTTTATAAGAATACGAGGACAATGGTGATGGCCAATACGATGACGGACATGGCCAATGACTCGATAAGCAAATGGATTTAGGCTACGCAATTTTCAAAACTTACCTAGCCTTACGCTCTAGTTTACCAGTTTTCGAATTACGTATTAAAATGAAAGGCAATCGATTAGACACCACTATCAAACTAGCTTTGGCACAAGGCTCCGTTGCATTTGCTGTAAGAACTTCAGTTTCGACCATGATTTTCTTCTTTTCACTTTTTTTCACTTTTGCTGAAGATTATTGACAAACACTTTTCTTTTTCTTTTTTAATCTTTTTTTTTATTTTATTTTTTGTTATTTTATTGTTACACTTTTACTATTTATTTTAAACTTATTGATAGCGGTTATAATAGCGATTATTAAATAATAATTCTTTTAAACAGTCACGAGAGTTCACTAGTTCATTTTTAACGTTTAAAATCAAATTATACAAAGCTAAGGTTATTATATTATCAGAGATTCTTTAAATTATTGATTGGAAGCGACGCAAGTCTTAACTGATGAGTTAACGATCACAGTTGAATATATTCTGAATCGTGGTGGCTCTCCGTATGACTATGTGGTCAAGCCCCAAACCGATGATGCGCTAACAAAGAAAGTATTACTTGACTTCGGCTTTTTGTTCGGTTGCAATTTTCGTGCGGAATACATTTATAAAATGATTTCTTATCAGTTCTAACATAGAAGATGATGTTTTGGGCTGAAAACAATTGGATCATAAGTAATCGTTATGTTTGGCAGTCTGTTCCGCTTAATAATAATGTAATTGTGTTATTATATATTCTATTAATGCGCTCTTATCATTATCAATTCAACAAATATATCGACGTTTACTTTGCACAAATAATCAAAGCGTTGATTCGATGTGTAGGTAATTAACAATAGCTTTCGTTTAAATCTTACATTATAAATAAATGCATGTGAAATAGTAGATGTTACGTCTAATAAAGATAACTAAGCGTAGATGAAACTGTAATCGCTTAGTCTATAAATTCTGATCATTTGGTAAAGAGAATAAGTTTAGCCAAACGACAAGCGTTCAACATTGCTTTTTTTTAGCGATAAAGAGAAAAGATTGAAAATTCAAAATTAAATTTAAAAATAATAATAATAATAATAATAATAATAAGGAAAACAATCAAGACGTGACCTGTTGTCTACTGAAATATTGTCTTAGGTTCGTTGATTTTTAACAAAACAATACGACTGTACAGCATTGAACTATACCTACATATATATATATATATATATATATATATATATATCTACACACTCGTTCTGAAAATTTTTAAAGAGGCTTGGCATTAATTATTAGAAATATTGTGGTCAGTATTATTACAAAATCCTATATACAAAATATTGTACAAAATGATTATAATTTTGTATTCCAGTCAATAGGTGAGACATTTTATTGTTTTTTTTTCCGTTAGAGGATAAAGAAATTTCATAAGAGCCAATGTAGAAATACAGCATGGGAAGCAAACACATAATCGTATAGAGAAAGATTTAGTAATCCTTGCTGATAAGACCAATGTCTTCTCATACATGACTAGAAAATTGGGTTTAATCGAAACAGAAATAGCAGGGACGGTACTGTGCGTAATTCAACGAAACCAGGCGAGGACTATAACGCATTTTTAAATCAAAATCACGTAAGCACAAAATTGAGCCATTTAAAGTGGCAATATGTATATACCTGCCAGGGGTTAACCTTAAATTACTAGCATCTAAAGAAAATGCAAAAGTAGGAAATACTTTGGGAATAGTAGACCTGTCTGATCATCTTCAATTAAATATTTAATTTTTAAGCGATGGAAAAGCGTTATACTAAGTTTGGACCTCTTTTTCTAACATGTCGGTAAGAGTCATTCAAGAGAAATTCCACTTAAAAATCTGTATATATCTATATATATATTTATATATATGGTTGATGATGAATCGGAGTTGTGCTCGAAACACCCACGATTGAAAAATGGGAAGAGGAAGGTGAGTTTCGAAAATAGACATCACGCAGTCAATATGTAAAAAGGCTTAATTTACAATCTACGACACTAGAACCACCAACGGTTTGCATCTACCTATTTCTGCGAAAAGGAATCATTTCGATCGTCCATTTTTGTGGACTTGCCACAATCGCAAAAATTATAGTTGCATGTTGAAATTTCTAAGCAACATTCCTTTATCGGTCAAGAAACCAATGTTAGAAAAATGGTTGCGATTTGCCTACATAAATGACCACCACAAACGAAGAACTACAATAACCTTGAAAAATAACGTTAATTTTTTCTTATTTTCATCTATATATAACTTTCGAGCCTTTGGAAATATTCTAAAAACATTTGACTCAAACGCTCGTCAAATCTGTCTGCACGTTTTGCCTCAAAATGGTCCTGAGTCAGAGATTTTCAGAAATAGTTGCAGACAAAGTTACGAAGAAGATCTCTGCTTTTTTCGAGGTTTTTTCGATTTTTTCCATATTGCTGACGTACACATAAGTAGATCACGTTCAATTTGCAATTTTTTTTTTACTCTTGTGACAAGTCGAAATAAATAGGGCATCAAAATGATCTCTTTTAAGAGACGTAGGTATATGTAGGTATATGTCATCGGCATCTCATACAAATAAAAGTCACCAAAAAGTTTTACAGTGACGTACCCGATAGTTCTGGCATTAATTCTTACGCCATCCAAAGCAGTGGTTAAATAGGTATCATAAGCACATGCCCATTTTTTCATTTAAAAATCATCGTTTAAACGAACTGCCCGTATAACCTGCCAGCATTGGCTTTTTCCATAGTTCCAGATATTGCCGTTTTCAAGTAGAACGTACGCATATGCTACTCCCTTCTTGCCTTCTTCTCTACATGTAATCTTTCTCTACCACCTCCGCAAATCTGGAGAGTTCACTTCGCCTGAGTAACTGGCCATTTAGAAAAAAAAACACAAAAAGTGTCGACACCATTTTCCGGAGCCATATATATAAGAGATTCGTTTCAATATAGTTCCGATCAGCTAGACGCAATTCGCAATGAAGAAAATGGCCAGATCACTTTTGCGCATTAACCTAAAATATTAGCGATTTGCCTCAACAGAAACACATGTTCACGTACTTCATGTGTGGCCATGAGCCAAGAATATGTTAACCACAAAAGTACCGAGCTCAATATAATAGAGACAATGTCAGTTTGTCTGACTGTGATTTGAATGAAGGATATGAACCGAACCTGAGGATTTTTACATCTCGTCTTTCCTTAATATTTAATACTTTTTAGATTTGAGTTTTAAGTCTGATAGAAAACAGACAGATATATGTTGCGTATATATACACTATTGTGTATGCTTTGAAATTATCGCACGTATATACATATAATTATTTGTTAATATTGTACATATTAGTCTTTTGCTACCAACCTTGTCGTGATCGTATAAAAAACAAGTAAGAAAATTATATTCGGCTCTGGCCAAATTTTTAATATCCACTACTCCTGTTCTAAAAAAAAAAACTTCAAAAATTAAATTTCGATGTTCTAAAAAGTTGGACGAGGTCGATTTTTTCCATATTCGAACAACGATGGTGGTAGGATCAATCAAATTGTTTGCCTTTGGGCGTGTCTAAGTTTTTCGCTTATTTAAACGGCTGCGGTAGCATCGCATAAACGGATCTTCTGTTTGTTCTTAATTGTGCCCTCCGATCGATTCGAGTCATTTTCAAAAGCATATGGCTCTAAAGAACTTTCAGTTAAGTTTGGCAGACCGATTTCTTGGAGATATGAGTTTTTCCGATTGAAAGAATATTAACCGGAGGCGTTACATCGATCGAAAGTCCAACTTGGCTAAATCGATACATAGTTTATAGGCTCTTGTAAGCTTTAAGCTTAAACGTGCTGCAAATGTTTCGACAAAATGAATATACCTCCATTCTTGTACGGTGGGCAAAAAAAAAAACGATTTTTTGCTCACGAATTATTAATACTTATAAAGATTGCAAGCATAAATTATAGTTGCAATGAATATCTATTAGAATTGATAAGAAATTCTTAAGCGAAACCGAGGAAGAATTTATATTATGTTTAGATCGAATTTTTTATACCCATCACTACCTTGAAATTAGAAAGTGATGAGTTCATCCTTTGACTAGACAATGTATATATGTGTACACATACGATATTTGAGTGCAAAACCAAGAAAAAAATATGCTTACAATTTGGAAAACAACCTATCTGTACATTTATTTAAACTAAGAAACATATAACAGGGGAACATATGCGTCTTATCAATATAAAGTTTGTTGGTGATTGCGGATGAATGTATGGAGCGATTGTAACTGATTTGCACCAGTGCAACATATGGATTATGATTTGGCTTATAACAAATTTTCTGTCATTCACTTTTAATTTGTGTTCATACATAGCGCACATATATGCTGCAGGAAAAGGTGACGAATAATTCGCTTGATATCCATCATATATTATATCGTTTATCTAGCTTTTAATGCAGCATATATGTTTATTAGGTGCAAAGTGCATTTCAACCAATATAAGTATCGCGCAGTCCAACTATAGGGACATCATAAATGTAACCGTAGACGCACAAACCAATACTAAAGTTTTTAATAAGAAAAGATTTAAGGTTGAATTTAAAATTTAAAAAAACGCAAAATTATCGGTTATGTGCCAAAGAGGCTCATTTGATTTTTGAATTTCATCCGACGAGAGTAAAAGAAAATTAATAAAAAAGTTCATATATCGGCGTAGTTGCCTTTTGCATCCCCAGTGTGCCGAATGTGAGCATGCCAACGAAAGATGAACAGGTATTGCGACAGGGCTTAGCCGAGTATCTTTTGATGATCAAAAGTATGTATACTTTATGGGGTCACTCATGCGGATTTCTCTTTAGAAACCAAAAAAGGAAAATCTAATAAAACACTTTCTTTCGCTGGCGCGCATAAAAATTTCAGCTAAGGAGTGTTCTTGTAAAGAAAGTTTTGAAAATCTAATTGTGCCTCAAAGCACAAAAAGGCATCCGCCATCTTTTTCTACCTATAAATGCTTTATGCGTTCGTAAATGTTATCTGGAGCGCTTGGTTAAAACCATTACAAAACAGGTAATTGAATATTGAAATTGCCACTGCTTTCTCACGTTTCCGCTTTTATCTTCAAACGTGATGTAATAATTTTAAGATTTTTTGTTATAATGCCCAAAGACGGTAGCTGGTGAAACCTGCAAGTAAATATGCAAATAATTAATTTTCAGAAAAAAAACGAAGAAGATTAAATTGAATTTTTCCAACAGTCATAATTTCGTTGAAATCATAGTGCACTTCTTTCCCGAGTATATAAAGAAAAGATATGCAGACCTATGCAGCGGATGCCTAATATATCTATGCTTATGCAAATTTCAAACTGGTTCTACATATTTTTGTATCTTATTCGTCCGAAGAAAGAAATAAAAATTTAGAAAACCTCTGTTTCATTTTTCGTAGAAAACTTTTTAAGTCGTATAAGATAAGGCGGTAATGAGCAGATGGACATGAGGATTCTTGTTAGTGATGGGTAGACGATTTTAGAAAGAAATAATCCAAAACAAAAGTTTAACACTGCAAATAAAATCGTGCAGATTCATCTCTTCATATCTATTTATTTATTATAAATATCTTCATAAATACACTTATACATATATACACACATATATATATATATATATATTTTATATATATATTTATATATATATATGAAACCATCTCATATAATCTGCTTTTGATATTGTGTGCAAAGGTATTTTTAACTGTTGATATACAGAAGCAGGCCATTGAAGACGATGTGGCTAAAAGTTTATTTTCAATTACACGCTTTATAACGTTGGATAAGAGCGGCAGTTGTGTGCCTTTGACGATTTTGCAAAGTATATGATCGAGTCATTTGGTTGCATGTAGGCGTATGGGCCATTATACTGTGACCGTTTTCGCGTTAGAATAATCCAGGGAATTGAGAAATGGTTTAAAATTGGTTGATTCACTGAATTTCATTTCATAATCGTTCTTAATGGTTAATTTTGACTGCGGGACTATGTGCCTTAAAGATGTTAATAAAGTCGTTGATATGCTTTAATGTTGATCGCATCTACTTGAAACATAAACTTGAGGGTCAAATACAAATAATGGTTTGCTGCCATTGGCAAATACCGTTAGTCAGATGTTTTCGCTCTTTAAAAATATGGATTACTATCCGAAGCATTATACCAGAAGGAATTTACTACGAAACTTTTAGTTTAAAAAAAAAAATGTGTGCTGGGATCTTGCTGCTGCAAAGAAGTAGTCTGCTGTGATTTTGCTGTTGGCAAAAAGAAAGATCGTTAGGGGTATTGTTGCTGCAAAAAAGTAAAGTCTGCTCGAATGTTGTTGTTGCACTTTCTAATTTTGCGAAGCAAGTTTTTTATGCACGTGTTGATTTGTTTTCGTTCAAAATTAATATGTAATATATAATATTATTACTAATTATTAGTTTTTAAACTCATATCTTCCCTTTAAATTCTTTATTAGCGAAAAAATATAAATTCTATTTTAAATTTCGCTTAACTCGCACAACGAACTAAAAGTTAGTATTTATGTATTGTTACGGAAATTTCAAATCCAGCTTATTCCAACTAATTGATTTTCCCAAAAAAATAATTTAAATCATGGGTGCGTTTTGCACAAGATTTAAATCAAAAATATCAATGGTGCGACAAAATTTAGGAAAAAATTTTAAATAGAATGGTTATTGTCTGACAAATAAAAAAATATTATATCTGGCAATGCCAAATTAATTGAACGAAAAAAATAAGAAGAAGCAGAAAACAAAAATGAAAAATAAGAATATGATTTTCATAGAAAAAGCTGTCAATGTAAAAGCTGCAGTCCTTCAATAAATTTATTTATTATTCCTTTTTAACTTAAAAAATATTAAAAAAAAAACTCAATCCAATCCAAAATGAGTATTCGCAGTCTGAAAGCATTTAATGTTCAACTATGCAGGCATGCATATGTATTGGCTAGTAAGCAAGTGCGAATCCTATCCTATCCTATGTTAATGCCGGCACAAGATTGTAAGTTTTGTCCATATTGAGGTTATGTCTCCTATTGGAAAATTATTTAATGAATATAAATATATAAATAAAGTCAGATTCTATTAATTACCACCGCATTTATTTACAGCCCAAAAACGTGAAGCTCACAACAATTTGTTTCAAATGGTAAAAAAGCGGACAATTGAAGCTAGAACCAAAACTCAAACAAATAATTTCCCTAATAATAAACCAGTTTTCAAAAATGAATCGTCTGGCTCTAATTTGGCTTCTTCAGAATCTAATCCCAGCTGCACCATATCCAAATCCTTGAGTACATCCACTAAAGTGTCTCCCTTCTTAAAGCCAGATTCCTCAAAAAAACTAGATGAACCTAGAAAAGTGCTCTCTCAAATTACTACTAAAAAAAATGTTCTAATTAATTATTCTTTCCGCAGAGTGGATACGCAAGCAAACCGTCTTACAATGCGGAAATTCTGAAAGCCCCAAATTGTTTAGGAGTAACGAAGAGCGGTCTGGCTGCGAAAGCTGGGGGTGACTCTGATTATTGTAGAAGACCTCTTCCACAGGACAGATCACCAGAAAGACCTATGGTTCCTATTGGTCAGGGTGGTTACAGTGGTTGTCGGCCACCAAAAGGCCAGGATCCATCTGAAAAATCCTTAACGTCTGAAACTTCTCGCGATGGAGCATCAAAGGGGTCCTCGGGCCCGTATGGTGATGGAGGAAAAGATAGTATGGACAACTATTGGAAAATTCTCGCAGCTGTCCTTGCAGCTTTAGGTCTAGGTGGTCTGGTAAGAACATGTAAACTTCACTATCAACGGTATAAAATAATGTTAACATATGTTTAATGCAGGCATGGTGGTTACTTAGGCGCCGTCCTACATCGCAAGTTTCTGAAAGCGGACCTACCCTTTTGAGATCCTCAGACTTACCAAAGCATGTACCATATTTACTTATAGGTGGCGGCACTGCAGCCTTTTCAGCGTTTCGCGCAATTAAAGCTAATGATGCTAAAGCGAAGGTAAATTCCTATGTTTGTTTTATACTTCGGCTGAATACTTGAACTTGTTTCAGGTTTTGATGATTACAGATGAATATCGAAAACCATATATGCGGCCACCTCTCTCTAAAGAGCTTTGGTATTCGGCTGGACCGTCAGAAGTGACTAAAGATTATCGTTTTAAACAGTGGACGGGGACGGAGAGAAGTTTGTTTTTTGAACCGGAAGAATTTTTCATTTCTCCTACGAAATTGATGGACAATCCGAACGGTGGCATTGCAGTGGCCCATGGTTTTACTGTAAAAAAAGTTGATCCTAGTAGCAAAAAGGTTATTCTTACTGATGGTTATGAAATATTTTATGACGAATGTCTTATAGCCACAGGTAAGCTTTAGCATCATCCTATGAATTTTAGTTTGCTTATCATATGTTTAATTAAAAACTTCTTATGATTTAGGATGCAGTCCGAAAAATTTGCCTATATTCTTGGATGCGCCTTCACCTATTAAAGAGAAAGTTATGTTATACCGTACACCCGACGATTTTGAAAAATTAAAACGTTATGTAGATGCAAAAAAAAATGTAACCATTATTGGTAACGGCTTCATAGGCAGTGAATTAGCTTGTTCATTGGCAAATTACAGGAAATCTGCGGGATCACGCATTTTCCAAATATTTCCCGAGTCTGGTAATATGTCTAAAGTTTTGCCGGATTACCTGAGCAAATGGACTATGCAGAAAGTGGAGTCGCAAGGTGTGTGCGTGCTGCCAAATGCTTCCGTAGTGGATATCAAACGGGATAATTGCTCACTAAAGTTAATACTTAGCACGGGGGACACTATTATAACTGATGTGGTAGGTGCTCAGTGTAATGACGTACAATGGAAATATTTATATGTATATCCGTTTTCTCTGAAAAAGGTATGTGTGTGTGTAGGTTGTGAGGCGAACATAAACATAGCCAAATCATCCGGTTTAGAAGTAGATAGAATGCTGGGTGGTTTTGTTGTGAATGCGGAACTTGAGGCCCGGCGGAACCTTTTTGTAGCTGGAGATGCATCGTGCTTCTACGATCCTCTTCTTGGCAGAAGGCGTGTTGAACATCACGACCATTCCATCGTATCGGGACGCTTGGCTGGCGAGAATATGGTAGGCAAAAGTAAGTGTAAATCATTGAAGTTTTATGTTTGACTTGATCTTACCTTAAACAACTGTATCCACATATTTGTTAAGAAAACGCCTACATACACCAAAGTATGTTCTGGTCAGACTTGGGACCCGAAATCGGTTACGAAGGTATTGGTCTAGTTGATTCGTCATTGCCAACTGTCGGTGTATTCGCTTTGCCTAATAAAGTAGATAGGAGAACGGATAATTTAACGGAATCTCGCGAAAAAGAAGTCGAAAAACCTTTGAACGAGAAGGATTTACCTGATGTAAAATGCGATATTGATAATGCGGATAATTACGGACGTGGGGTGATATTCTATCTGAAGGAAGACAAAATTGTGGGTATTTTACTTTGGAATCTTTTCAACCGTATCGGCTTAGCCCGAACGATTATTAACCAGAACCGGATTTACGACGATTTGAATGAGGTCGCGAAACTCTTCGAAATTCATTCGTAGAATTAATGTAAATTTTTATTGTAAAATGTACTCTGATTAGATAGAAATGTTTTTATTCTGTTTGTTAGTTAATGCTTGCGATAAAATTGAGAACGTGTTGTTAATTCAAGAAAAACATACAGACTATCCATTTTTCGTTTGGATATTGTCAGTGTGTGTGCGTCATGGCTGTACATTCATTATTTGTAAATTCTAAATAAATTTTATTATTTAGTTTTCTAAATTATGTGGCGACGTTGGTAGTATCGGTTTTGAAGTTTTCGGGATCATCAATTCAGGTAAAAATTATTGATGAAGGCAGCTTGCGGCGAATTAGCTAAACATAAAGCGGTCGATATAATGAAAATTTTATTACACATTCTGACTAATTATATTAATTAATTGATAAGTTAAGTCAATGATCAAAATTTCTGACATTGCGCAGTGGTCGCTGCGCTAAAAGTATTCATCAATCTGAGCATTTACCTTGAAATTAATTAATGATATAAAGCTGAACCATTATTATTAGTTATCTACAAAAAGACATTGCCTAGTGTTATTCCATTTATCAGATACCATGCGTGCCATACTTTTGTACATATAGATTTAATCTTACCTTGAAGTTTGTTCAGCAAATTGAACGCAATAAATGAATTTACAAAAAAATAGGTTATTATTATTGTTGTAACTAAACCCCACCCAGACTTTCAGTAAGTTTGGCTAACTTTGTCAGTATTTCATTTCAAACTTGGACGTTCAAGTTTTGATTGCAAGAGAAGAAAAATTATTACAAAGATTTTTCGAGAAAACGAAATTAAACCTTTTAAAGAAGATACTTATATTAATAATTCTAAAAATTATGTCTGGAAATTGATTTTTAGGCTTATATTCATGAGCCCAAAAAACCGACCGCTTGGCAGAATCGAAAAAAAAAATCGAAAAATACCGAAAGTCTTCAATTATATTAAACACCATGCTGAGGACGCTGCGAAACACGCATGAGTTCATTAAATTTTCTCCTTTTCATAGGAAAAGAGAATAGTAATGTAAGGAATGTCTTCGCTAGCTTTTTTCAGGTGGTTCGTCCTTCGAATAATAACCTTGCCTGGAACAATATTATTGATTGCACACGATATTTGAAAACGAAAACACATTTCCTTTGAGAAAAGCATATGCTCCTATTCCAAATCTAATTTTTTATTCTTTGAACATTACACGTCTAATTTTGATGAGATTCCGAAATAGGTGTGATACGTCCACAATAATTAATAAAATGTGTTAATTTGAAATTTATTTTGAAGATTTGCCAAAGTCACATAAAAGCGAAGGGTAGAGGTGCCGTTATTTTTGAATTGCATTTTCTTGCAGAGCATTTAAAGTTAAAATTAAGATTGTGCTTCGAAATTTATTTAATCTGAAAAAAAGAAATTATAAATTTTTCCTAAATTCATCGTTATGATTATATGTATGCGTATTGTATTTTAATATAAGAAGGAGAGTAGGTGTATCCGTTGCGGATCCAATGCCGCAAGAAATGGCTTCTGCTGGATTTTAAATTGTCAACAACAATTTAATACAACAGCCAGACGGAAATATATACAGAATAACAGACAACTTTAGATCAAATCAGAGAATGACTCTAAACCGATTAGTATAATAATAATATGGATTTATCTCAAGTTCTTGTAAGCGTTGCACACATTCGTACGGGCTTAAGATACCCCATGTATTACAAGTGGTGCAAGATATAATGAGATGAAAATATTATATTACGAGTAATGCGAGAATTCAAGTGCTCAATTTATAAATAAATAAGTATATAATCTTGTAAATGGGTATAGTGTTTAAAAACCGAACTTTCCTTGAAGTTTTTCAATGTCTTTTTTTTTTTTTGTATAATGATTGTTATAAATATATATATCTTTTATAAAACAATCCAATCAGGATTGGCTGAGGTCGGTTTACGGTTCTCGTTACCGAGCAATCTCGATATCGAACCTGCATTTTATGTTGATGATACTCGTTAGCGTTATTTTGTTACACACATCCATCATACCATAAATATTCCTTTGCAATTACAACGAACAAGAAGCCCAACTCAACAAAATGCGGTGCTATCGGTTTGGTCTTCCCTATCGCACGATATCCTGATAATGAGAACCGTAAACCCGGCCGCGAATAAAGCTTTAGGATAAAAACTAAGACAACATGTAGAAATGACCAGAAAATATTGAGCACAAAATTGAAATTATGTAACGATTTACCTCAATTATAATAATTCAATTAAAATATAACAAACTATTAAAATGTTAAGGTAATCTTAGAAGATATAATTGAATCGATTAAAGAGAACTTCGGAATTGAATCTTATTTTTTAAAATTTGTTTTTTTCGACGTCAGCAAGGGAATTGAAGATGGAGTCAAGCATTTGTGTGAGTGGTTTAAAGGTCTTAGAAATCGAGGATCTTATAAAATCTATACTTTAGTTGGTATGCTTGCCGCCGATTATGCTTTAGGATATTATTGTTGATTTGAAAATTCTTTTCCAATCATAGTTTTGACAGCGACTTAAAAACTTAAGACTTTCGTAGGATTTGATTTTGTGAAATTCGGAACTGACGATGAAAATTTTCCATGTCTTTTGTATTGCGTAACTGTTATTGTAAAAATCAGCCATTAATCCGTTCCACGACTAGTAACAATGTTCTAATTTTCTTTTTTCTAAATCTTGGCGATCCTATTTGTGGCATTTTGAGATATCGCTTTCAATGGGACTTGACTATTTATACTCTACATCACTTGTGACGTTGGTGCGGACATGCATAACGGGTAGAAGCGCTTAAAACTGACCCACTTTTTTAATCGATTTGAAGTCATTATCTGATCTAAGCAGTCTACAGCTCCTACCTTCATCATAAAAATGTTCGATATTTTTTGACAAAGTTTTCAACAATGGCATCTTTTTCGGTCACGCCCGAACTCTATGAAAAATGGATTGGTTTGCCTACTTTTATGACCACGTTCAATGGAAGCTTTGTTCTTTGTGAACGTCCTTTTATGAAAAAGTTTGCGATTTGATTGATTTATCACTTGTACGTGCTTTTTAAGTTAAGTGAACAAAATGAAAATAAAAAAGAGAAACACAAGCAGAACAGGCTCTGAACAGGAAGGGACTGTGGATCACATAAGCTGCACCAAAGTGTCTAAAGAAACTATTCCTCTCTCTACTGTCAGCATGTAAAGGGATTACCGCGTCTATGCAATGCGCGTGAAGTGTCTGAAATTGATCGGTACGAAATCACAGCAATGTCAGATCAAACACATTAAGAATTCGTTCCACTCTCTACTGTCGACATTTAATGGAATTCAACGATAGGAAATCACGACAATGCCAGAATGCACATATTTCTAATGATTAGTGAAAAATTGAACAAGCTTCCTATTATGTTTTAGATCATCCATTTGCACTTTAACCTGCTCGGTTACCGTTTGTTTCACGTTCTGCTAAAGTGTTTTAAAGGCTATGGTTCAGTTTTTTATCGAGGAGTCTCAGAAGTTCTGCATTGGCTTAAGCAAAAATTTTGTAAAGGGATACCGAAAACATCGAGTATAATATATATACATATATATATATATATATATATATTGTATTTAATAGATCAATTTGCATAAAAGTGCGGCTGGGTCGACTTGTAGCCTTGATACGACCACGAGACTCTACATACCTCAAAGGTATTCTCTGATGCGTACACACGTGTCACGCAAGGAGGACAACAACAAAGCTGGTGTGACGGAACAAAATGTTGATTAATTAAAAATTCTTTGTAAATTTTTACATTCTTTTTTTCGAAACATTTCCTTTTATTTTTGGGTGTAAAAATTATAAAAAAAAGAGTGAAGAGATTTTTTGTTTTTTTGCTTTTTTTTGTTAATAGATTACAAATACATAGTTATAATATTAATAATAATAATTATGATAATAATAATCGTGATATTCATTATAATAAAAATTAAAAATATTTTTGTAATAAGTGACATTGAACTATTCTATGAAGATTATCCTTTGCTCAGAAATGAAGTGAAGAAGAAATATATAATAAAAATGTGTGATTGTGTGCAAGGGTTTATTTATTGTAAGCTAATTAATTAAAGCTACGATGAAATTCATAAATACATGTGTACGTTTGTTTATGTGCACGTATGCAGGCAGGCATACGTAATTAGATGTACATGTTTGTATATTCTTCATATTTTAAGGCTACTCGGGTGCTAACTTTAATTTACTTATTCATTTTTTTTTTTTTTTTTTTCTTAGAAATTTTCTTTATTGTTGGATTTTGGGAGGTTGATAATTTGAACTTTTAGAAGGGTGTTATATATAAATATATATATATATATATATATATATATATATATGCATGTTATTAAATTTTTTTCTTTCTCTTTTAATTAATTTGTAATTTTAGCGAAATATTTACAATTACTTAACAAAACTTAGTGTAGATTTTCTTAAAAAATAACCCATTAACCACTTGCTTACTATAACTAAGAAGAAGAAACGTAATATTTTTTTTCACACAAGATTCACGCAATTAATGAAAATCAGTTCTAAAAAAATGTTTCTTTCGTTAATGATTTCAAAAAACAAGAAGCTTGCTTTTAAATGGAAGCCAAACAAGATAAAAGAAAAAGTAGGGAAACAAAAATTAAAAAAAAAAAAATTGAAAACAAATTTTTTTTTTTTTTTTTTAAATTTAAAGGGAAAACACAAGTTATAAAAAGGTTAGTTTAGTAACCGTAGGTTAACCTACCGTTTTAAAAAATAAAAAAAAAAAACATTATCAATTGCAGTTTACAAATTGTTTGAAAGATCTGTAAAAATAAAAAAAAAAAACGTTTTCGAATACAATGAAACAATCTTAGTTAAATAATTTCTGTCTCTTCGGTACTCTTCTAACATTTTCTATCACAATCATTTACAGTTTTCAAAATTTTGTTTTATTTGTATTTTCAAAAAGTTTTCAAAGAGATTTTATCTTTAACAGTTCTATTTAAAATGAAACCATTTCTGTTTTTTGTTTTTTGCTGTTTCTTTTTCACTTAAAGGGAGTCAATGTTATTTAAGATCTAAACTTATAACGAGAGGAAGAACAAGTAAGAAATTTATATTCGCCTTGAAACGAATTTTAGATATCAGTCACCTGAATAAAGCTTCTTAATAATAACGGGCGTGTCAGTTGGCTAATCTTAATCCTTCATTCTTCATTTAAATACCTTGGTTAAATTTCTGAATTAACGTTTTAGTCAATACCTGACATGGTTCTCAAGTTACGAGCAATAATATTAAGACCTGATTACATTTTTTCTCTTCTTTGCTATTACTGAGTCTTGGGCGGCAGAATACTATCAAGTAAAACGACACTTGATAAGCTTTAGTTTTCATTCCACTTTCACAGGAGTAGAGGTTCGAATAACGGATGTAGGTCGATACTTGACTCGGGTTATTTATTTTTTTCAATTATCGCGAACCAATGAAGACAATATAGGCGAACTTTACATTTGTGTTCGAAGTAAGATTCTGTTATCTATATAGTTGCGGCAGTGAATTTATATTGGAAGACGGACACACGGACACACGGACTTGAATGCATCGCATGCTTCGCGGAGTTTTTAAAAGGCAGCGAGAGATTCCTCATTGTTACAGAAAGCAGAAATAAAAATCGTATATAATTACCCTTCTTTTGTTACTCATGTTGCCGTGAAAGTGTGCAAGCCTACTAAGTTATATATATATATATATATATATGTGTTGTTCGCCTATCAGGATTTGATTACACTTAACTAATATAGTAAATATTTAAATATAGTTACAAAAATATGATTATTAAGATGACATAAAATTGGCACGCATGTAATTTTTTCTGTATGTAGAACATATTAAAAAAATTTCCAAGCTTACTTGTCTAACTCGATTTACGAGTACTTATATGAAATGATAAGTTATATACTGTTTTTATATACATATATATCTCTACGTGTGTATATGTATGTATGTATGAAGCGCGGGTGTGTGTGTGTTTGTGTGTGTGTGTGTGTGTATATATGTGCATGTATATGTATATATGTGCTTGTTATAAAAACACTTAACCTAGCTGACAATTATTATCCCAACAACTACATACTTTGTAAGCATTAATAGCCATATTTTTCCTTCTGATATATTATCAAAAACAACAACAACAACAACAACAACAACATTCATTTTGAGGTAAATTTTAAGCTACACATTTTGTATAAGAATTGTACGTAGTTTGCCATTGTCTGCTAATTGTTTCTTTAGACGTGTTCGCGTGTCGATATAACGGCACATAAGTGATTATCGTGATATGATAGAGTTATCATTTCCTTAAATCTGTAGGTCCACCATTATCGCATCCAGGACTGCTATCAATACTACAACCACTCGCTTCGCTTTCCATAGGGGTGGGTGTTTGACGCTGTTGTGAATCTGTGGTATCCAATTGGGCGGATGTCTCCGTTTCATTGTATCGTATCAATTTAATTGTTGTCAAACCATCAGCGTTACGTATCAGTCTATAAAATTAGAATTCATTAAAATACGAACTTCCTTCAGGTATTGGCACTGATGATTTCAACTTACGGATAGCAATCATCCTGTGCCGAAGGACTTGAGTATGGTCGTTTCTCAGTTGTGCAATTGTTATTGTGATTCCCACTGTTATTGTTGCCATTGTTTGCCGATACACTCAAGTCCGTGGGTTTCATTTCTTCGCATGAACTCGAACTATCCTGAGAGGGTGTAGGATTTTGCTCGGCAGATTTTAGGACATTGAACTGGAATTTATCATTCGGAGTGTTGGGTAAAGTTACCGGCGAATTGGGCAACATGCCGCCATTGGAAGATAGGTAATGGATCGCATGCATAAATAATGGGGATGAGGGCGGTGGCCCGTATGCAGCCGCTACAGCAGCTGCAGCGCTGGAAATTCCATTAGGCAAACTCAAATGTTGGTTACCTTGGGACGTAGCGCGTTGATTAGAATTTTGCTGTTGCGTATTATTTATAGAGTGCTGCAGAGAACCTTGTGACGGCATAGCCCATGTAGTACCATTGTTAGATGCTGCTGTGTTCATATTAGATGAAGACGTTTGATTGTTGGTGCCATTAGAATTTGAGTTATTCGTACCGTTACTACCGCCAACATTAGCGCTGGCAACGGTTTGTCTTAGTAGGGAAATATTTTTGATATTCTTTAACTCGGTCGGATTACGCAAAAATTGATAGCAGTGCCGTTCGCCTTGCACCTTGCGTAAAATGTTGACTCGGTAATAGTAGCGTAAAGCTCGTGACATTTTGTCATAGTTCATGGATAAATGGTTCTTTTGTATACCCCATAATTTGGCCAAACCGGCGGGATCAACTATTTTAAAGACACCTGTATCACGGCACTTCCAAGCGATTAGATCGCTGTACTTTTGATTACGATCATTAAGCAGTTGTTGTAAAAAGTCCCACAATAGACGACCGTCTGAAAAAATGGCAATAAGTTAATCAATTTTTTTCCAAATATGCTTTTAACTTACTTGTGTTGGGCTCTGCGGTTTCTGGAAAAAACTCCCGTTTCACCGGTTGCAAGTAGCGGTTGTCATTTTTATCAGGAAAGAATTCTCGCTTAACTGGCTGCATATAGCTGGGTGTTGTTGGTGCTGAGATTGATCCACTGCCACTATTTCCGACCTGTGATCGATTAGATTCGTGGCTTAAATGCTGTTGTTGTTGCTGTTGGAGATGCTGCTGTTGCAGCGGTTGTTGTTGATGTTGCTGTTGAGACCATGTGTTTACAAAAGTATTTTTAATTTGTTGCTTTATATTTGGAGGCATATCTTTCAGTACAGGCGTCGCGGGTGGACTACTATTGTAATGACCCGTTGGATAAGTATGGGCAGAGAAATTAGCTAATGCACTATTCCCTTGAGAAGTTTCTGCAAAGCTTTCCTCGTCTGAGTCTGAATGGTGACTGCTAGCACTTGTGCCATTAGTATGCTTCAAGGCACTAAAAGCATTGTTTGCGACTGCAGCAGACGATGATGACGCGCTAGTGGAAGAATTAGTACCTGAACTATTGCTACTGCTACTGCTGCTGTTACTACTGCCACTACTACCGCTACTGCTGCTGTTGGCCTGGCTAGTAGAAGCTGTTTGTTGCTGCTGATTTTGTTGTTGTTGTTCTTGACTTTGAGGCGGGCTGCTGGCTTGGGAATCTACGGAAGGCGGGGGACTAAGCGTTACGGAATTTGGAGCCATAAAATGATGTGGCGCTAAGTGTGAGGTCTGATGAAAGGCACTTTCTGGCGGTGCTATTGGGGGCCAAGTTGGAGTGGGTGGGTGACTATGCGGTGATAACGGATAACGGCTAGTTGGCGTTACGGGGCTATTTGGTAAATGCCATTGCATCATGTGCGATTCAATAACCAACATTTGCAATACGTTGTGCAAAACATCTCCGGCCCCCGGACAACGATGTCCGAAATCGGCTCGCGTCAATAGACATAATGCCTTTCCATTCATTTGAAAGAGATCATAGTCGACTTTGGGTAAATCAAATTCCCGTTCGCAGAAGTGTAAGAATACCGCAACATCTTCGCGACTCCAGAGACGCGGATCTGAAGGGAGAGACGGAGGCAACTGAGTTTTCAGTTCGGCCAATTGGCTGGGCGGCGCAGGTGGGCAACGCCATAACATATCACTCCAAAGGCCTAATGGTGGATTTAACGATAACTGGACTGGCAGCATTTTCATTTTGATTTCTTAACACGAAAATTTTGAAGTTTTTTCCGAACTTTGATAAAAACTATTTAATTCGCGGCTTTCAGCGCACATTGGATTCCACAGGAAGCAGTTGTAGTAACAATACTAAAAAGAGAACAAAAATATATAAATATTTATTAGACATTCACCAAAAATGTTTACATTTTTTTTGGTTTTTTTTTAATGAGCGAGAACCGTAGATTTAGGTAATAGTTTATGCGAAGCCTTCGAAGGTTATGCATATCTCTGCGTGAAAAGCTTTTATCTACAATGTGCACTGATTATACTTTTCTTAGTTAAGCACAAATTTCTTTTTACATATTGTTACATTGGTTTAGTTCGAAGTCATATACTTATATATATATATTACTTATATATATATATATATTATATACAATCTTTTATATTGTAATATAACCAAAGAGTAGCTGATACTTTCAACGGTGTTCCATCGATACCAGCATAAAATTCCCTCATAAGAAAATTATTTTGTCTATATTCTCTATATACGACTGATCAAAATTCGTGTGCATGCACACATCTGTCTAATACAATTTTTTTTACTCTACCTGTCAAATAATTCTTTTTTTTTGTTTTTAGTTTTGGTTTTTATCGAATTCTGATGATGATGCTGGCTGACTGGTTGATCGTTTTGTTGATGTTGAGCGCCTAGACAGCAAACGGAAGTACTCGCATTCCACAATAAAATATCTTTAGTGGTAACTCAAGTACTTTTAGCGTGTTTGTGTGCGTGTATCAAATACAAATAAAACAACAACGGATTTCTTTATTTTCAGAACCAAGAGTTTAAGATGTAAGCAGGGAGAAAAAGAAAGAGAGAGATCTGAAACCAGTTTTTGCCTACAGATGCTTTATGTGACCGAGTGAAATTAAATCCCAGTCATCCACCAATACCACCACCACCACCATCATCATCTACACTAACAACCGTCGCTCACTAACCGGGACTGTGCGTCAGCAATACATACTGATAAGCAAAGAGGTTTTACATTGACGATGATGATGAAGATGACGAGGATGATGATGACGATGATACAATGCGAAGTAAAAGCAACAAGAGAGATTTTTTGCCTCAGTCTTTTGTTGTTGGTTTGCATTGAGGATCGAATTTAACTTGCTGTTAATAATGACGACGACGATGATCAGCTTCAAGCAAGATGACGACAACAAAAGCAGGTAGAAATATTTTTCAGAAAAAAAAGGAAGGGAAAAAAGAAAAAAAAACTGCCTCATAATAGGCATAAAAGTGCTCGTTTTTCTCTCTGATTCTTCTTCTCAGATTTTGTATGTTATTTTCAAAAGAATAATACAAGTGGGTCCGTATACATACGCTTAAGGAGCAGAGTTAAACATTCACTTGAATGTCGTAAAAAGGAAATAACAGCGCAAATGAAAGATACCAGCAAGCATTTTAAGGTACGTTCACTTAAATACTTTAAACATGCGGATGATAAGTAAATATTTAACACTAAAGGCTTTAAATGCAGTAGTCTTCAACAAATTTATTCTAATAACGGCATAAGAGACTGAAATTCATATATTCGTACACGTTGTTCATCCGATTTACATACCCACAGGCATTTTCATTAGTTGGTCTTACTCTTGCTTTCGTTTATCTATTGTTATTGAATTATGCAATGCTCACGTTTAGCTTTAAACATATATTGAAAAGCCATAAGCGAAAAATATAACTTTATGTATGTCGCATATTCGAGAGCAATAAAAATTACTTATTTCGGAACTTTGGTGAACAATTTACGCCGTCAATATTGTGAATTCCCACTTAGTCTAAACAAATTGAAATATACTGACCGAGGGAATAGCAGACAATATCAATATTATTCTAAGTTAGAACAAAGTAGAATTTGTATATGAACAAATAACAAGTGGAAATATTATCTAGGCCCACGGAGCCATTATTCGTTTAATACAGTTCTTCATATAGTGATTTTTACAAATCAGGTGCTCTATGGGAAGCAGTCGAAGAAATGGTTCGATTAGGTTCAACAGCGTTCGCCGTTGGCGCGCCAAAGCACGTCATCAAAACATTTCAAAAATTTCTGCTTAGGTTGATTTAGATAGTAACTCGGAACCGATCGGTTTTATAAAAAGCGGATCTATCTCAAAGCATCTCCACACCTAATATAGCCTAGTATCACAAGTCGCTATTTTCGAAGAAATTAAAAGTTATATCCCATACACTCCTCCTATTGAATTGTTCCAAATAAAATTAATATTTAGGCTTATTATAATAAATTGTCCTTAAATCCCTATTAGAAAAGCCGTAGATAATGGGTTATGTATCTGCTTTTTTTCGATGTTCCTAGAGTTGTTCTTAAATGTCTTATTATTATTATTATTATTATTTCAATTAACATAACCAGAAAAATGAATTTTGAGACATTAGCATTAGCATCTATGGCTGTCTGTCAGCTTTGTTGAACACTCTACTGCGCTTGGTCTTAAACATAAAACCTTTCATTCATTTCTTTTTTCTTATCTTCGGACAGTCCATGAAATGTGAACCTGTCCTATATATAGATCATTTAAAAGAAATCTTTATTTGCAAGATTAAACTTGCGACGCCATTGCGTTTAATGTGGCATTGTTCGTTGGGTAAATTTAATGTAGCTGCCGTCGTCGCTATGATTCGCATGAATTTTTCGTATACTCCACATGCAAGCATGCATACGTACATTTTACGTATATGTGTACGATATGTATAAATACAAATAAATAAGAAGAATTCTCTCTGCTCTCTGCCCCAGAGACGGAAACTATAACTGAATAGTTTTTTTTTTTTTTTTTATGTACTATAAACAACACTAACAATTTCTATTAAATACGACCGAATGAACGACAGAAAGATTGTTTTATGACAACATATTGTTTATATTTTTTTCCTCTTATCCACGCACACACACACACACGCACACACATGTAAAGAATGATCGGCCGACAGTTAGACTATTAATGAGTAAGTCTAATGATTTTTAAAGAAGGAGAATTGAAAGAATATTCTCAACTGTGTCGTTCCGCTCATCAATAATATATAATAGGAGGAAAAGTTTAAGAAGCGTATAATGACAGATACCCTCCTGTGGGGGGTATATTAGATTTGTGTTGAATATTCGTAAAGCATGGAAATACCATATATTATGTATGCATATTTTCGATTAGAGTATATTTTATTGAAATCGTAAATGTGATTTCCAAAATTTTATCTGGCAAACTAGCTTGACTTCCAACTCCTTCATCATTGTCCGCAAAATCCCGAAACTATCTTTAAAATAATAAATTTCTTTTTTAGGTAATCCTTCTTAACGCTCTTTAATCTAACTTAAGTAATTAGATACGTTAATCCAACAAATTGTAGCATGTAAGAAAGTTGTAAATGGACATTGTCCACTTTACAGAGTTTGTTATGTCATGTTATGTTGAGTAAGTTACCTTTTTTACATTAGGTCGTCTATATTAGTCCGCGCATCCGTCACATAAGGTGGTGGAGCATGTGTGTTAAAGCGCCAGTATATTTAGCTGTGGGCCTATTACGTTTCAACAATAGCTGGAACATGACGTGATGTTCGCATTTACCAGGTCTTGACTTGTGCTTTTATGCCATGTTAAAAGGAAAATGAAACAACTCATCTTTTAGATAGCAGAAGATTCGCTCTAAACTAAGTAAATGAGGGGCCTATTAAGATTCACAATACAACCAAAGCTTCGAAACATCGTCCCAACATTTAATACCCTATATCAGTTTGCCTCATGCAGTTATTTACATAACGACTTTTCAAAATGAGGTGTTACAAGGGAAGTGGTCGAAAAAGTGATCCAATCCAAACCATATTCAACAGCGTTTGTCCTTGAGCCAAAACTTGTCGGTGTACTAAATTTCATCAAAATATTTCTAAAATTGCGAGATTTAGTTTGAAAACAAGATGGACAGATGGACAGACAAATTAAGATTAATTCGGAAGGTGATTCTGATTCGATATATCAAGGCCTACTGCATGCATTCGCATAAATTTAATATACCCTTGTACCACAACAAGTAGTGTATGGGATGATGATTGCAACATGTAACAATAATTTAGACAATTGTCGCCACAATTGTAGTGAATTGTAACAGCAGATGACCAAGAAGACAGCATAACTTTTAATAAAGTTGTGAATCATAATAGACGCCATAAATTATTTATTTCTTACTTAGAAGCGGTCGGTACATCTATCTGTACGTATATACAAACATAGACATATAGACTTATATAAGGAAATAATCTTAATATTTTGATGATAACGAACAATGTTTACGGCATCAATTGGCGAGAGATTTTATTCTTAGGCTATTTATCAACAAATATTGATAAATCAGTAGACGGCGGTTATACAAAAAAATTTTTCAAAATTCTTTCGTCGGTTTGTTTCTCATTTTTTTTTTTTATCTGCTTGGTTCAATAATTAAATCGACAATAAACGGATGTAAAATCAAATTTATGCACATGCATGGAGATTCTCTTCACAAATACATATGTATAAGTAGAAAGGAATTCAATTTAATTCCAATATGTGCGTAAATGTTAAATATGTGTGCGTAAATATATATATATATATATATATATATATATATACGTATCTGGAAAATGCTTGACCAAAATCAACGGCAATATTCTCAAAGAAACAAGATTGTCCAACAATAGTTTGCGGCCGAATGACTTTAACGAATGCCTTTTAAATTTTAAAATTAAAAATCTCTTAAAATTTTTTTTCTTATTTCATGTCATTTCTCAGAAGATAGAGCAAAAAATTTTCCAAAATTTTTTTCATAAAATATTTTTTTTTCCGCAAGAAGTTTGTAATGAATATTGAAGAACAACATGAGTAACGATATGATATCTGTTGAAATTTCCGTCAGTAATGCCTAAAAGTACTAGCTGAATGTTCAGTTTTGATTAGAAGCTAGTTAAGGTGAGAAATCAAGGGGCTCAGTCGTAACTTAGTCTTAAATGACTCTTTTTTTAAAAGTGCCCACATATTTGAATAAAGCGTATTCCGATTTTTTTTTTTCAAATAGGAATCTACTT